TTCATGTTATATTTTCACCAAAACACACCATAGATGTTTCATTTAGACCACAGGGGACTGTTTGAAGGGGGATCATATGTCCTTTTTAACAAATAAATACAAGAGAGAGAGAGAGAGCATTCCTCCTTTTTTTCAGCGCCTTGGCTGTGAGGAACGTAAAACACCTCAAATAAAAAGTTAAGGTGAGTAACCTGCAGCGCGTTGTCATGGTTACAGAGGATTCACAAGTGCCGTCCTATTCCTATTTAAACTTTTCAAGCCCTCGCAGCCTCATGCACTCAGTCACTTTCCAGGTGACATCAGCAAAGGGTCTCTAAGGGTTCAGGATTTAGGGATTAAGGATTTGGGTTCAGGGAGGATTTAGTGACACTTGAGGAGTATTTCCTAAGAAAGCAAACATCAGATAGAAGCATTGATTCTATCGGAGCTCTACGTTTAAAAGCTTACACTCAAGTCAAAGGATGTTGCATTCAGCATAACGGGACAAAAGAAAGTGAAGAGTTTCATCTTTACCTTTGGCGTGACACGATCCCAAACGCCACCAGCACAAGTAGAGCCGAGATCGCCGCTCTTTTCACCTCCATGATACCGTGTGTTCAGGCTGGAGTTATGCTCCTCTAACCTTCCTGAAGATCAACTCATAATGCTCGTCTCCGATCACAGCAGCAGCTGCTAATCATCTTTTACTGCACGCCATAAATACACAGTGACCCCCAGGCCTTTAGGAGACGACCTGCACCTGAACAGGTAGCAAAACTATGGAGCCAAGTGTGAAGATGAAATATAGCTGAAACAAATAATAAAGACCTGAGAGTGTAACAGTGTTCAGTAAACAATAATGGACAAACAGGTTAAATCTCAGAGATTAATTACTGACAGTTTATTTCAGGGGATTATTTATGATGCTGTGCTAAAGATCAAGTGTGTGTGCGTGTGCGTGTGTGTGTGTGTGTGTGTGTATTGTGTGTGTGTGTGTGTGTGTGTGTGTGCGTGAGTCTTCTAATCATAACTGGAGTGTATCTGTCTGATAATGCAGCAGGGGACTCCGTTATGTAAGGGAGCCAGACAGAGTCCACGGGGACGGAGCTGAAAGGCACAAACACTGCGGCGTCATGAAGACGTTCAAAAGGAAACTGTTTCCGTACCCGGATTCATCTTGTCTCTTTTTTTTTTTTTTTTTAAATCGATTGTCCAGGCTGTCTCCGTCACCGTGACAACGTGGGAGGGAGAAGATGCAGCAGCGAGTTTTTCTTTTCATTCAACAGGTCCCGTTCATCACACTGATAAAGACACGTTTCCAGTTTGATCACCTCGTGTTCCCGATAAGTTCACTGATTAGATCTGCTGATGTGGCGTGGAACATGAAGTCGAGGACTTTTATCTTTTGTTCGCGCAGACTGAGTTTTAAAACATGATTCATCAGGGTGAAACAGCAGGTCAAGTGTCAAAGTGGGGGGTCGCCAGGGGGACATGGACTATTAGGGCTGCGGAGGGCAGAGGGGGGGAAATGGAATGAAAATAAAACATTTAAAGGTCCAATCAGTGAGATGTGTAGTGAGTGAGATGATAAAGTGAGCTTACTATATGATCATTAAGGAAACATGCTATGTTGAAGTGCTGGCTTCTCTGACCACAATGCAGCAGCCAGTATGTCCTCCTTCTAACTTTAGATTCTGGTCCTGAATGCTCTGGATTTGTTTGGACCAGAGAAGGTAGGCGGTTTTAAGACACCCCCACACGGCCGTTTTGGACACCCCTCAGTTTGCCAGATATGAGAGCAGTTATCAGGTCAAACCAACAGGTGTTGTAGTGATGGAAGCGGGCAAGAGAACTGGTTCAGATAGAAGTGATTGTAGTATCTGAAAGAATTAGATCTCAGATACAAGCGGCTGAAACGAGTTTCCACTGGAGGGCGTCTGGGCTCAGCCTTAGAGAGAGGGGGAGGAGCTCGGAGTAGAGACGCTACTCCTTCGCATTGAAAGGAGTCAGTCGAGGTGGTTTTGTGTGCGTGTGTGTGTTTGAGTGTCTATACACTTTAGTATCACGTGGTTCAGATCTGCTGCTGCCATGGATGCTGGGGTCAGATCAAAGAGGTGTAGGCTGCTGAGAAAAACTCAGGAGAGGAGGAGGAGGAGGAGGAGGAAGAGAGAGAGAGAGAGAGAGAGAGAGAGAGAGAGAGAGAGAGAGAGAGAGAGAGAGAGAGAGAGAGAGAGAGAGAGAGAGAGAGAGAGAGAGAGAGAGAGAGCCTCTCGGTGGAAATCCTGTTACATGTTGTTCCTGCTCTCAGGATTGTTGATTTAAAGCTCCAAAGTTAAAACGTTTAGCAATCACAACAATCAAGACATAAGATTTTGCAAACATTTTACAAAGTTTAAAATAAATGAATAAAGGACATCTTCTTCTTTGGTTTTCCCAGAGGTCAGAGAAAGTTTTGAGAGACATCAGGGATGCTGCTAACGTCATATGAGGGGAAAAGGTCAAAGCAATCAAGTCCTGGTTTAGAGCCTGCACACACGGCTGATTGGTCCAGAGCCCAGCAGACGGCTCGGCCCGATATGTGTGGTGGCTGAATGAATAAAAACAGCGGTATAATAATCACGTGTTTGAAATTCCATTATTTAGCATTTTTAAATGCTGCAGACTAAGTTCTCTTCTTGGGTAATCGATCGTCCCCTAAAATGACCCTGCAGGGCGGTAGTACTCCTAAGGTCCAGGGACCTTTGGGGGGGAAGGGCCTGCAGTTGTGAATGTTTCTGATTGGTCAAGCACTCGCACCGTTTCAGGTCACCCGCCATGTTTGAAAGCCTGCAGCTGCAAGCCCACATTAATATTTTCATTATGCTTCGACACTGCCTTTCAACGTGTTTCCAGATGTACTCTGTCGATCCCTGCAGTGGCATTTATCTTTGTTGTACGCCCTTTGTCTTCTTATTACCGCCACCTGCTGGACTGGCGGTGTAGTGCAGTTACTTTTTTTGTTTCTTTATAAATAATTGGCCTGATTTGCATGATCTTCCAGGGACTTCAGGCCTCGGTGGAAATTGGCCACAGGAACCATTTAGTTACCGGCAGAGAAGTTCTGGGGACCGAAGACTGTAAATATTATGGTCCCCACAGAGTCATTCCCGCCCCCATAACCACAAATTAATTACAAAGATTAGAGATTAGATTTGCACATATTGAATAAATCTATGGCATTACTGAATATTTAAAGCTGAAGTCTTTTGTTAAGAGCAAGTGAGCAGCCTGTTGTTTTGGGATTTTATTAATGTAAACAATTAGGATTGTTAATTTGGACACTTTTCATGTGGGTCCTGGGGGGGGGGGCTCAGCTTTCCTCACACATGCATGAGTGAGGTGTTCCAAGGGAATAAAGGTAGGAACCATCGTTAAAGAAGATGGACGTCCAGGATGTCATGACGACTACAGTAACTCAACGTTGGGAGCATTTACAGTGCAATGGCTCCCTCTAGTGGAGATGTTAGACATGCAACATCAGCTCTAGAACACAAGAGGTGGACAGTGTGACTAACAAAAGCCTGAACCCTATGACTTTATATTTTTGATTATCCGTCAGGTGCATTATTACACCCATAACTAATCCTTTCATGTTCAGAATTAGAGGAGGGATTGATGTAACCCTGCAGACACAGCAAGTAAAAAAAGCTATTCTTGATTACATTAATAATATCATCAAATGCTTCTTTTTACATGAAGGGGTATGATCTGTCCGCTTGTGATGCAATTGTGTTAACAAATGTCATCTGAGGATTGCGTCCTGCTGACAGGACGATGATACAGCAGCAGAGAGAGCGAGAGAGAGAGCAGGTTAGAGATAAGGCGATCGCCCAGAGGCTTCAGGGAGAGAGAGCAGGTCTCGTAACAAGTGAGATAAGCCGATAAGGGTGGTTCAAAAAGATGGCCTAGCGTTGTGTGAGGTTACATACACTCACAACAAAAGGTTTGTGCTGTAGGTCTGATGTGCGAGGCGAGTGTGGGTGTTTTGGTTAAAAAAAAAACCAAAAAACAGTGACTCTGTAAAAAAGTGTGTAGGTGAAGTGCAGAGAGAAAGTAAAAATGTGGGAATGTGGAGGAGCTGGGTCAGTTTGTCTCTCCGTTATTTGTTTTGCAAAGTTTGCTTAGCGCACACACACTCTCTTTGGGATGCATTTAGAAGCTTTCCAGCACAACCACACTTTCTATTTGTAGCTGATGCAGGGGGGCAGAGTGTTCAGCATGAGAGTGACGAATTTCCCTTTGGGGACAAAAAGGTATATCTGATCTTATCTTTTGTTTTCTGCTTCTTAAAGGTCACATATTCTGCAAAATGTTCTCTAACACTAATATATGTCTCCAGTCTGTCTACAAATCCCCCAATGATGAGAAAAGTCCATCCTCTCCGTCTTCTGCCTGCTCCACTTTTCAGAAAATGTGTGCTTAAACAGGCCGTTTGGAGATTTTCCCTTCATGACATCACAAACGGCAGTAACCCCTCCCCCAGGTGGGTGACACTCCAAAAGCTAGGTGTTTGTTCTGCCCCGAGTCTGCCTTCTCACCGTAAACAATAGGACATGGAGCGAGAAAGCTCAAGACACGCAAGCCCTTACAGAAAGGGGGCGTGGTCAGACACAGCTCATTTACATTTAAAGGTACAGACACAGAAACAGTCTGTTCTGAGCAGGGCTGAAATAGAGGGATTTATAGACTTGATCAAATACAGGATCAGAGTGGATTTAGAACAAGAAACTTCACACACGTTTTGAGGAGCTCTGAGACTTATTTAAACTGGCTGAAGAGGAGGAGGATATGTGACCTTTAAGAATGAACATCTTCAAGTTACCTTTGGCCTTTTTCTCCAGGGAGTCCGGGCTGACAGGAGTTAACTCTCCAAACTGCAAAGACACAAACCTTGAAACACAGAGAATGATCAAAACCTTTTCTCTGAGAGGTCACATCGGTCCATCCGATCGGTCTCCACAAAAAGCACGAGGAGCGAGAAGTTTCTCTTTTATTGGCAACGATCTTTATTAGCTCTTCCAGTTCTGGATGTGAAAAGAGGCATTCATTTTCTTTAATTAAATATCTTTTTTTTAATAAAGTAAAGCAAAAAAGTATTTACACATTTTCAATTAAACTGTAATCAATGACTCGGGTTGGATAATTACAAGCACCTTCTGCCAGCTGCGGAGAGAAAAATATAAATACAGGGAGAAGAGCGTTTCTTCTTCTTCGAGTACAGAAAAGAAAAGATCCGTCGTATATATTTACAGAACGCTCCTGAAGGGCATCTCCACTCGGGGAAGCAGAGATGGTGCCAGGAGGCGAACTGTTGAACTCTGAAGTCCTTTTTCGTAAAAGTGGATTTTTTTTTTTACTTTATATTTTTCATGTTTCTATAGCGATATTTAATTCTTTAAAAATCTGACGACCGGCTTGGTGGGAGGGTGCAGCCGTGAGCCCTCGCTCGTGCTCGCGTCCACCGTTTGTTTTCTGAAGCGCAGGAAACACGTGAAACAGACACAGGAGGGGGGGGGGGTGTCGTTGGGGGGCGTCAGAGAAGCATCGCCATCCCCAAGCAGCAAAATGGTCAATGTCAGTAGCCCCTCCCCCCCAGAAAGTGACGCCGTCCTCTTTAAGGAAGCGTTTAGTCCTCGAGAGTCCAACAGCTTCAGCTCCCGTGTGAAATGTCCGTTAGACAGCACTCGCCACTTTTCTTTGTAGTTTTCTTTTCTTTTTTTTTATAAAACACTCACTCCAATCATCCAACACGGGGAAGGAACCAAAGCGAACCGTCTCTACATGAGCGACGTCATGGAGATCCAAACTTGTGACGTGACAGTGCTCACTGTGTCGTCACACGATGAAGTCATCAAAAATATAGATATGAACAGCTTTTTTTTTTGTTTTTTTTTTTGTTTTTAAATCTGTCGTTAAGCAAAGTGTCTCGAATAGTGTTGCCGTGGCGATGAACAGCCGTTTGGAAAAAAAACAGGAGAAGGGAATAAACCTCAAAAAAATACTGAAGGACACAATGCCACCTCCGACATCTCACCTCGCCATTTCATCGATTTAAAAAAAAAGACATTCGCTTTGCTCAAGAAAAAAAAATCAAAAACAATGAAAACCAAAAACAATAACATGATCGAATGTACGATCCATAATACAATCTCTCCCAGGTGAAGATTTTTTCTCTCGTTTTTTTTTCTGTTTATGCAGAAGGTCGTCTGAGTCCTCCACGAAACATTCACACTTGTCCCGAGGATCCTCCCCCGAACTCCCCCCCCCCCCCCCGGCTCCGACCAGCAGGCCCTAGCTGTTGTCGGACTCGTCCTCGTCCTCGGCCTCACGGAGCCAAGTGAAGAAGGCAGTGACGGACTTGAGGGCCACGCCCTTGCCCTGCTGCTCTGCGGGGTCTTTGCTGGACTCCCATTTGTAGAAGGCCTCCTCTTTGATCACGTCCTCGTCGTAAAGGGTGTCGAAGAACATCCGCAGCAGATCTGATGGCGAGGAGGGAGAGGGAGAGAGAGAGAGAAGAGAGAAGAGAGAAAGAGCGAGAGAGAGCGAGAGAGCGAGAGAGTCAATTAAAACCTCAAAATCACAAAGATAACAACGTCATCTGAGAGTGAAAGAGGTTTAGAGATATCAGAGGTTGTACTCACTGGCGGGCTGCTCCATCTCCACCATCAGGGCCTGCAGGGCGTACAGAGCCTGCAGCTCCTTCTGCTCGTCCTTCAGGTATTTCTGCAGCAGCTTGGCCCTCTGTTTGATCTGCTCAGCATCCACCTTGAACGGGTTCTCACCTGCAGGAAATAATTTCAGGGAAACTGTATCACACCAGACCACAAAGACGCACAGCGTACTGTTTACGAAATACATTTGTAATAGGTTAGGATCTTTCTGTCTAAATAACATGATTAATGAAATGTTCCTCATGGAGGCTCATTGTTAACAATCCTAAACTAAAGCGGTTTCCATCTGCACTCCAGGAGGACTGCTCCGGATATTCTCCTGACCTGGTTGTTCACACATGAACCTCACATTGGGAGACTATCCCTGTCAGACAGGAGGGGGGGAGGGTCTACTGAGGTAAGACCCAGAAGAAGTGGATGATGCATCAGAGTCCGCAACACAACGCTTTAATGAGAATATTTGCCTTTGTATCAATGCTACATGCAGTTCAACATAATCCCAATGTGAACTAAAGAGTGGAGAAGAACATACTGGAGAACAGGAAACATAATGCAGCAGGTTGTGAGCACGGAGATGGTAGAGGTGGCGTGCAGACAGTCTATGATCGTGCAGCGATCACAGGGAATAAACGTCACCACCCCCTCCCACTCGCTCCAGGTGAATTCTCCTGATTATATCCTGCTGTGTTCTATCATCAGCTCACTCTGACTTTCTGCAGAATGAATACGAGGAGGCTGGAGGAGAAACATTCAGCTGTTTGTGTTCACACATGACGCTCAGCGAGGAAAACTTCAGGAGTTTTCCGCAGGTGTGAAAGCAGCTATTAGAGGGCAGGATGTCATCAGCTGTAGACGACAAGCTTTAAGAAGGTTCATATTCAACACAGGACATTGCACCACGGTAGATCCACTGACAACAGGGACGCACTTGTGGATGTCTCTCTCTCTGATCTCCTGCAGAGCGGACACGGCTAGCAACGTGTGCATGAGAGGTAAAGAGACAGGGACGCTAACGGATCATCTGATAAGACCTGATACTAAACAACAGGCCAGAAAGATGCCTGGGCAGGCCACTGATGAGCTTGGTAATGAGGCTTTATTTTTAAAGGCTTTTGATTCGTTCATCGAGAGGACAGGGATAGAGCAGATAGAGCTGGGTACAGGGATCAGAGAGAGGGGCGGGGCCTCATTCATTAACCACGCCCTTAAAAGTAAATCTTCAATCTTTGTGTTGACTTACAAGTAACGGCTGACTGGCAGACGCAGGTCATCAAAGCTCTGACGAACATGTTGGACGAGCTCTGCTGCTCATCCAGGTTGGCCTGCACATACAGAGAGGATGAATTTACTTATTTTATTCATAAATCAAGGATTAAAGATTGAGACAAACTACACATAGAGCGCCATTACGTACCTCGATCCAGTCAAAGATCCTCTGGGTGTCGGCCTGGTCTTGCATCAGGCGCTCCAGCTGTTTGGTCAGCTCTCCGGAGCTCAGCTCCTTCTTGTTGCTTTCCTCCGACTCATCGCCCAGAGTGAACTCCACATCCTGGATTACACAAAACAGGTTCAACTCTTTAGCTTCATAACAGGGTAAAGAACCTCTAACTCGCCATAAGTGCCCCGGTGGCGTTACATTGGTGTCCCAGTCTGTGAGGTCACGTTGCCTTACAGACCACAACAGCCAAAGCGCCACCGCTGATACATATTAATTATATATTTTACATCTCACTGTAATTTTGATATCAACAGATGTATTATAAAATGTAGGGAATATTGCATCTGTGGCCAGTGAAGCGGAGCAGCCCTCTCACCTTTTCTGTTACGAACTTGTTGACGTCGACGTCTTCTGGGAGGAAGTCTTTCCACCGGAGGCCAGCTTCCCGCCACATGGCGCCCGCTTTTTTATGGCTCTGATGAGAAAGAAATGTTTGAAGAGAAAGTTGAAGAGGCCACTATCATAGGAAAGAGTCTGATGAGTCTGTATGATAACACTAATAAGAGGATATTATTGTTCTGGTCTCACCATCCCTTTGCAGAGTAAAGTGAGGATGTGGACCAGCAGGACCCCGGCCTGGCCCAGGGGGATCAAAGGCTTTGAAATCTCCCTGGAGACATAAAAAAAAAAAGGTCAACGCAGGTCAAACATCTGGTGAACAAATTCCAAACATCCACAGGCCGTCTTCTCGTGCAGGTTGATTTTTTTTTTTTTTTTAAACGTGGTGATGAGGGGGGGGGGGAGAGAGAGAGAGAGAGAGAGAGAAAGAGAGAGAGAGAGAGAGAGATGGGACGTACCTGAAAAGTTCTCCCATGGGGATGCCTCCCTCGTGGAGCATGGGCGTGATCAGCTCTGCCAGGTACAGCCAGATGTGAGGGACGTCTATGGCCATGTCTTCGGCCACCTCCAGGATTTCCTGAAGCCTGAGGACACACACACAGACACACACTTTAAAGTCCAGGTTTAAAGGAGGAGAAGGGGGTTCCACATGTCTCAGCAGACAGAGAATCTGAGCCATATGTCACCAAATTAACTCAAACATGGAAACTGACTTCTCTGGCTGAGAAACTGTTTACAGAGTATTTCTCTTCAGACACTGATTTACTTCCTGCCCCTCTGGGTGTCTGCTCATTTAAAATCCTGCTGTACACGCTTTCAGGCAAAACTTGCATTTCAAAGAGTTTGATCTAAAATGCTTTTCTAATAACATTTAGTTTTCACTCTCTTTATATCAAGCTGCACATTTCATGCCAGAGATCGTCCGAGCTGTTCTCAAAGCAACTCTCTGATCGTAAACAACCTTTTTCAATATTTAAGTAAATAAACTGATTCTCACAGAAATTACAAGCCATGATCTAGAGGAGGAAACAACTTCAGGAAATGCAAACCAACTGATCAGAGGTGCTGACAGGAAGTGAACAGAGGTGCTGACAGGAAGTGACCAGAGGCAGAGCATCATCATCATCATTAAGGTCATAGGTGTTCAGAAAGAGCTGGGTCTTTAGCTTTTTCTTAAGGCTGCAAAGGGACTCTACCCCAGGGGGCGAAAGAGGAGACGAGTCTTGATAGAGACATAATGAAGGCTGTCCACATTGTGTACCTGCGTGCGTGTGCATGAACTGTACCGTGCCGAAGCACACCTCTTTGAAGCGTGCCAGGGCCGAGGAAGTGTACCGAGTTTGAGCCCGGATCAGAGGACTCACACTAGACAAACAAACTGGACTGAAGGGGTGACGCGTGTTTAGGCACGGTACGGATTGCCCAGTGTGAGTGCGCCCGTACTCCCAATTTCCACATAGTCTCACCCCAACACTCACCCTTTGTAGTACTGCTGCTTTGGGAGCGTGCCGGCCTTGATAAGCTGGTGCAGGAGCAGACCCGTGTGCTCTCTGGCGATGGTGCTGCGCTCCAGCGTGGACTCCAGCCCGTTTCGTACGAACACAAAGAGCAGCTGAGTGCTGTTCATCTCCTGCACACACTGCAGGGCCTCCTGTGGAGACAGAAGAACAAACACATGGTTACAAAATGAATCCTCTGTAATCCTTAATGATATGTCTATATGTGCGTAACTCTGTACCTTCATGTCGTTGATGTGTAGGTACTCCTCGATGATGGCGATCGACTTTTTGTTCAGCTCTTCTTCAGTCAAGGCAGGCTTGGTGGGGGTCTGGGGAGGTGGGGGGGTGGCAGTTTTCTCCCGCTTCACTGTTTATGAGCATAACAGAAAGGAAATGAAAAACTCTTCGGGGGACGTAGGGCGCTGGACAATGTTTTGTGGTGCCTGGTTTTGTTTTTCAGCTGAATACTTAAAATATCATTCTTTAACAATTGGGGTTTCTCTCTATTTCTGAGTCACTTCTCTCACCGTCTTTGCTGCTGGCTCGCTCTTTGCTGCCTCGGTCTCTGCTGCCCCTGTCTCTGCTGCCCCTGTCTCTGCTGCCCCTGTCTCTGCTGCCTCGGTCTCTGCTGCCTCGGTCTCTGTCGTCAGTCATGCTCGCTACCCTGCGGACAGGATCAGCCGACCCGCGCTGCTCCCTCTCCCGGCTCTGTCCTTCATTCTCCCGGCTAAAACTGCGCTTGGTGACCTGCAGGCGGTTGCGATCTCGGTCGTCCCGTCTGTCAAATCTGTCACCGCCGCGATTAGAGCGGTCGAAGTTCTCGCCGCGCTCCCGACTTGAGCTGTTCCTGTAGAGGCGTAGAGAAAAGAGGGAGAGCAGAGTCAGGGGGAGTAAAAAAAAATACTGAATGTTTCTGTCTTAAAGCGCTTGTTTCGCTTCGGCAGTTTAGTTCTGTTTCTAACCTCTGAGGAACTCGTCTGTCTGAATCCGCTGAAATGGAGGACGAAGACTGCTGCAAGGCGGAGAACCTGTTGAGAGTGCTGGCGCCTGGACGCCCGCCCGTCTCTGAGCCTATGAATAAAAAACACACACACACATCCAGGGTTGAGTTTGAGGAAGTTATCTACGTACTTAGTGGATGTAAATGTCATTACGCTTGGAAACCTACCAGGTTCTGCAGGTTTGGTGCTTGAACCGCCGCTGCTGCCCTTTCCCCAGCTGCCCCATGTGCCTTTACCGCCGGGGGCAAGAAGCTGATTGTTAAAGTCAAGAACAGGAGTCTAAAAGAAGAGACAGTTGTTTAACACGTGGGTTAAAAACTTCAAAGAGTGTTTCATTTGGTTTAATGTGTAAAACTTTAATTTAGGTGAAGTGATGACAGCACCAGCTGAGGAGGTCACCTCGCTCTCCTACCTTTGTGATTTTGCTAAGGCGAGATGTGTCAATAGGTCGGTTCTTGGAGATGGGCACTGTGTTCCAGCCCTCATCCTGGGGAGGAGCACCGCGGCCTGGGGTGTGATGGCCCCCACGACCGCCCTGGCCTCCTCCACCCATCCTGCCTCCTCCGCCGCCGCCGCCCGACTCCTTCTTGGAGACGAGGGCTTGCTGCACCTTCATCTGCTCCCTGTGCTCCTCCAGCTCGGCGTCTTTGTGGATCTGGTCGATGGTCTTGGGGCCTTGGTCGCCTCTCCGGGGCACCCAGTTGTTCTGAGGTGGTGGTAGAGATTGTGAGTACAGCGCAGTGCAGCAGAGGTGGGGCATATCATCAATTCCAACAACAAATCCTAACATTTAAGAGAACAAGTCACAGATTTGGAGGACTAATCACATGCATCATGAACACATGTTGGATTTATATAATAAAGTCAGACTTAAAGGAGAAGAGATCAACATCTATAAGACGTTTCCCTCTTCTCCTCCAAAGGAAACAAAGAGTGTTTCACTGTTAAACTGGGCCGATGTGCTGACTTGGAGCAGCTGATTTTTGGCTTATAAAAGCCCTGAAGACAGCAGGTTTTGTAAGGCTGCGTGGGCGGGACTGGGCACATAACTACAGGACTGCAGCATTCCTTCAGAGCAACGCTTCCACTCCAACAAAACGGCTTTATATCACTACTAAAAAACCACACCAGCCAACAAACATGGAGACGTTAAGGACATGTAAAACCTCTGATGTGATTGTCTCAGCCGATGGCACAGAGCAGATCTATGTTTAGGAGCAGTGCTGCATTAAAGAGCTGAGGAAGCAGTTTCTTTGTAAGCCCATAAAAGAGACTCACACAGGCCAGGGCTGAAGGACCAGTGTGGACGTCTCTGGGACTGCGTACAGAAACACACACTAAAATGAACACACACACACACACAACAGACTACATGCAACAATACAACTCACACTGAAGGCCAGAGAAACACACACATGGAAACTAACAAGGACTAACAGAGTCCGCTAAGAAACACGATGAAGGAAACTACTAAACACTGACCCTCCAGTAAACATGGTGGTGTGGCGCGGGCTCAGGACAAAGTTGTGATTGCCCACTAAGGATGACCTTTAGCCATAGCTAGGTGCAACTCCTTTTGAAGGTCCCTAAAAGTTGCTGATCATTTTCTCAGTAAAAAAAAGAAAGAAAAGAGAACCCGTCGTCGAAGCATTGCTCTGAGAAGCCACATCTGCTCCTTTCCTTTGACTCTCGACCAAAACTCAACAAGTCGATGTCGTCCACAGTCAATATGGAGGAATAGGAAATGTTTCTTTTGATGCCTGACAGGATTTTATGACGACTTGGCAGTGGTAGCGTATTTCAAGACTGCTTAAAACCACAGACTGTATAAAACATGGACGTAGGATCAGTTAAGTCACACATTGGTTCCTGTGGAGGCGTTTTGAAGTCGAACAACTGTCCCTGTTTGTCAGCTCAGCAGCGTTCCGACACGACGTGAATAACTTTTTTATCTCTACCAGGATCTCAACTTAAAAGGCAAACTCTTAGAAAATCTCATGAGACTAAGAAATTTTGGGAATTTTGTAACTCAGTGCAACTCTTTGTTCTTGGGACACTTTGTGAATTAACTATTGGATAAGCCTCAAGTGGACATTTGGGGATTTGCAGCCTTTTTTTTCAGCTGAAGAGAGACAGGAAATGATGGGTGGAGAGAGAAGGGGGGGCATGCAGCAAAGGGACGAGGTCAGATTGGAACCTAAGGCCGCTGCTGTGAGGACTTTAGCCTCTGTACATGAGGCGTGCAACATAACCGCTAGCCTATCTGGTGCCCTGTAAACTGCAGCTTCACTTCACAACACTGGAGGTTGCAGCCATCTTGAAACAACATTTAAGTGTGCATGCCCTATAATCGACGACTACAGGCTGAATCTCGATGTCCTCCCTAAACCCTGAGCCCTTACTGACTTTATTGACGTCACCTGAAAAGTGATTGAGTGCATGAGGCTGCGAGGGCTCCAATGGTTAAATAGAAATGGGACAGAACTTTGTAACCATGACTGCATGATTTCATGTTGCAAAGTTTTTTTGTTATTTTTTACCGTCTTGGTTATATGGCGTTTGTTGTGGGCTGACAATTGTTGTGGGCTTCCCCGAGAAATCATATATTTCACGTCACAATGCTATGAACTATGGGTACTTCCCTCACGTTAAGTCTGCAGCTATGCCCACTTATGGACAGGGTGCATAAAGGGCTCGTAAAGTCAGCGAGAGATCCCTCAAACACTTGGGGATTTCACAGTGGGACAGCAATAAACCCTCACAGACTTACCGGGAACGCGCACCAAAGTCAGTGAGTGTGTGAGGGTGGACATCGAGATTGGGCCTATAGTCCTCAAAGCAGGAGGCCTGGGTTCAAATCCGACATGTAGCTCCTTCCCAGCATGACCCGGACATTAAAAATGTACCTGATGGTCTTGTTTTGAGAAGCATGAGGATACTAGATGTGAACTGTATGCGTGTGATATTTCTGCTTTACCCGTCGAAGATCGAGCACATCCTGCAGCATGAAGCGAATCCTGGAGCTGTTCTTCCTCTCCTTTGTTATTTTCTCCATCTGGTTGAAGTACTGATCCATACGAGGCTGAAGATGAACACAACAGTTTGGTGATCTCTTACAATAAGTTGAAAATCAAACCACACGTTTGTCAGCGTGCATTGGTACCTTGGCCTTTTCAAAGTCTAGGTCCTTTCCGATGGTGGAGAACAATCTACACAGGCACTCCAGCGACTCCTCGTCGTGGTTTTTCAGCAGCTTTACAATGCAATCGTGCATGATGACCTCTGTGAGCATCTTCAGCTTAAACAGCTCGCCAATGAACTTGATGTTCCCCAGTGAGCGCCTCCTGGCCTTGTCTTTAGCCTCCTGCAGCTCCTCAGTGAGTTGCTTCACGTCGTCCTGCGTGTAAACAGAGACACAAAAACAGAAATAGTCAGCTGTAAATTCTCTCTGTACGTTGGTTTCCTCACGATGCATCGTGACCTTCTAATGAGCCCCAACAAACACCCGAGATCAACAATCAAACTGGTTTCTTTTGTGATGTTAAGAACCCGTTACTGTACCCCTGAGGCCGCCTCCAGCTCTTTCTGCTTCTTCTCAAAGATCTCGTCGTCGTCTTTGTCCTTCTCAAACTCCTTCTGGCATCGATTTAGCAGCAGCTTGCGGAAATTCACAGTGGCTCCCGGCTTATCTGTGGCTTCGACTTTGAGCTGGAAAGAGAAAATGAATGTTCAAAAAGAAAGAAAGAACGAAAACAGGACAGGGAAAGACAAGAAGTAGAGTTACCTAGAGCAAGTGGCTCCTCAATACCATCATTTTGATCAGCAGCATCACTGGATCCTTTAATCTGCCACAGTTACCACATAAACACCTGAGCAAGGTCTGCTACAACAAGCCTCCATATTTCCGTGAGGTTTCACCTTCGATATGAATGTCGCAGAGGCGTAACAGCAGGGGGAAGTGAACCCCTCATTTGTATCGTCTTCGAAGGTGTAACAGAGGAGGGATGGCTGAGCCAGCAGGGAACGCAGCGCTGTGTATGAGAAGCTCCTGCTGTGCAGTGCTTCCACAACGCTGAAACGCAATATGACCTCACAGACTGGGACACCAATATAACCCCGTCGCTGAATCAATGAGAGTGCACGAAAAACATGATGACGGCTGAGCTTTGTTACAGAGCTTTTGAGAAAAAAAGCTGCTGCCAGGGCTGGTTCTGATTGGCTTTTACTCGTGTGACCTGTAGCCAATCAGATAGCGTTAAAATATGTATAATTAACTAACGTAAAATACGGACTATAATTCAGAGTCTGTTTTTGAAGCTCTCAGAGAGAAAATAAAAAGGTATAAACTGTCATCCTGCGTGACAATTTCTACCGTGTTCAGCGAAGTCGACAGCATGTAGTTTCTCTGCAGCTGTGTCGGTCTTTTAGCTCCATTTGTTTTCTCATTGTAGAGTTTGCTCTCCTACTAGTCACAGTACAGTAGTCGAGCTCTCAGTCTGCAGGGAAAGTTGTGAAGCGCAGACACCGAGCTCTCTGCCTGACTCCACTTGTCACTCTTTAAAGCACTCGACAAGATTTAATTACAGAACAATGTACCACCGTTTTCAGTAAAGTCATGATTAGACATGATGTGAGAAAGTCCCGTAAACAGAATGGTCTGTGTCACTGTCTTTCCCCTCACAGCGTGCAATCAGCTTTCAACAAAAAAATGATTGGGGAAGCATTTCTAATCGTGTCACGTCGCGTGCGTTGATCGTGGCGGCTGCACTCGGCGCGTGTCAAGATTTCATACCGGTATATTGGTCGCACTGGTGTATAAGAAGTAGCCAACTTTTTTTTTAATTATTTTTTTGGGGGGCTTTTTGTGCCTTTAATGGAGAGATAGGAGAGTGGATAGAGTTGGAAATCAGGGAGAGAGAGAGAGAGAGAGAGAGAGAGAGAGAGAGAGAGAGAGAGAGAGAGAGAGAGAGAGAGGGGAATGACATGCGGGTCAGGAGCAAAAGGCCGGATTTGAACCCGGGCCGTCCGCTCGGAGGACCACAGCCTCCATACATGGGGCGCCCACAAACCAATGTGCCACCAGTGCCCCAAGATGCAGCCAACTTTTAAGATGGAAAAAAGGTATTAAAAGTGCATCTCATATATCGGAGTTTACCGTCATTAATTTTATGTGCAAAGTAAAATAAAATGCCGATACAGATAATCCGCCAACTGCAGAATATCCCCCCCCCCCATGCCGATAACCAGTCCACCCCTACTCTCAATAGCTCAATGGGAAGATTGGTCTAATGTGCAAAGGATTGTGGGGGAGAAGAGCCCCAAAAGCATAAAAGTTGCAAGATGTGTCAGGGTGCAGTAGGACTTTTTGTTCTGCAGCAATTCTTACTTGGACACACTAAATCTCGCTCCGTCTTACCAGAGGGCGTTTTTTTTGTTGTGGATCCACAGCACTGAATCAAACGAAAACCCGAACATGGCCGACCTTTTCATATCGGCAAGTCATTGTGAAAAGAATAAAACAAGTATATATAATTTTGTGATGTATATAAAACAAAACATCATGGACCTCTATTCACAAACAAACATGCATTCATGTGTATTCAAAACATACTTCCGGGCGTGTGCGTTGTCACTTACCCCCATAAGGCAGCGGCACATGTTGGCGTAGGCGACGGAGAAGTCCGGCTCAGAGATGGCCTTTTCGAAGGTCAGATCTATGACTCCTTTCAGTCTTTCCTCAGTGTCAATAGTCAGTTCCGACACCTGTTTCATGAGCTGTTGAAACTTTTGTGGGGTCAGCTTGTTGAGGATGCTGCGGACCTGTTTGAACAGCTCCTGGGTCTTGCTGTTTTGGGGATCGTTCTCCTCAACCTCCTCGGCTGCACGGCCGCGAGTGGATTTCTTGGCCGAAGGTTTCCAGGCCTTCTCTGCCTTGTTCAGCTGAATGTCGTCACCGAGGGACATGGTGGTGATGATTTTCCTCGGCTCTTTCCTCTGCATCTGCTGAGAGCGACGCGGGCCGCCGGCTCCCATGCCCATTCCTGGAGGCTGGGAGGAGCGATGGGGAGAAAGGTCAATGACTCAATGTAAATCAAGGGTTATGATCTTTAAAGTGCAGAGCTTTTGCATCCCCTTTTATAAATGTTAACTCACCGGTCCTCTGCTTCCTCCTCCTCCCCCTCCCCCTCCTCCTCCTCCTCCCATGCCAGGCCGGCCAAGGTTTGCAAAGGAAGGTGTGAAGTCAGGACCACAGTTCATTCCCTGAAGACGACTGGGGTCAAGTTGGCGAAGTGGGTTTTTATTGGCCTGGAAAAACAAAATTAAACGTCATCTTGATTGCAAAGATTTCCATCACTGCTCATGTTTCCTCAGAAGCAACGTACATTCTTACAGCATTAAAAAACACACCGGGGGCTGACTGCTTCCAGCGTATTAAAACATGACAAGTTATTAGCATGAGACTAAATGTTTGACCCTGTGTCTTTATCACCTTGTCCAGGACGACGTCACTGATGGCTGGCAGACCCTCGGGCTTGTTCATGCTGGCGGAGATGAACTGGAAGCCCAGAAGAAACTCTCTGTCGTAATGTTTCTTCTCCTCGGGGTCGATTGGCTTCCATTGTTCTGAAAGAAAAAGCAGAAAGAGAAGTGACTACAGCTCCTCTGCAGAGACTCAGAAAGGATGCAAAAACCGTAATTCAGATTAAAATCAGTGTAACTGTAGATGGTGTCATGAATCACAATGTCCATAGGGTGGCAGATAGGCTGGTAAATGAATGCATGCATTAATCAAAAAGGGGCTGCAAACATTTAACCGTTAAATTTAAAGGCATGTTACATGTTTTTGTTGCTTTAAACAATAACAGAACGTTTGCAGAACAATTGTTTTAAAAGCACAGAATCTTGAGTCTTGCTGTTCAAATCTTACGTGTGTAATCACATAAGTTCTGTTTTCCTCTGAAACAGGAGTACAATCGGGTCAAAAGCCACTCCCTGATTTGCAAACATAGTCATAGGACACATGCTCGTGAGGTCAGATAAGTTAATGGTTAAAAGAGAGTTGCAGGCATAAGGCCTGGTAAGGTTTCATGTTCAGAGACCAACCTCCTTTGTACTGGTACTTTTTGCCATCTGGCTGGATGTTCTCAGCATCCAGCTTGTCCTCCTTGTCCTCCTTGTCTTCCCAGGTCAAGTCTGCCTCCTCTGGGGTAGGAGGGGAAGCGGTAGGGGGCTTGGTCTCTGTTGCTGGGGCAGGCTCAGGCTCCGCTGGGGCCACTACCTGCTCCTGGTTTAAAGATGGAGAGATGTTAGAAGAACAGTCGCACTGCAAAAGATTAAATCTGATTTCTCATCAGGTTTACAGGATCTGAGGGCTCTTAACACACCTTTGAAAAATGTCTTCAAATGCTTTTTATTTCCAGAAAATAAACAACCTCAGGAAAAAGGTTAAGTACCTATGTCCTATAAACCAGAGCCACCAACATACCAATGCTGACTCCCTCTGCAATGCAGACAAATCAAACCCCTGACCTTCCGGTGGGGAGACGGCTGACTCTAGCAGCTGAGCTACAGCCGCCACTGTGATGTGAGCGATTTCAAGTTGTCACAGCATTAAGTATAAATGTAAGTACACACACCTCTTTAAAGGCATCTAGGAGGTCTCCAACGGCCTCTTTTTTGTTCAGGTCCTTCATCTTCCTCTTCTTCTTTGGCACAGACACAGCAGCTACAGAGAGAAAATAAACACCAACATGTGTGAGAGGAAATTAAGAAAATCCTTTATTGACGACAATATGATGGCAAGTTGTAACTACTGACCTTGCATAGTAGTTTCTACGAGGGCAGGCGTGACCGTCTGGGGGGGAGGGGTGTCCTCTCTCTCCTCTGCAGTGGGAGGGGGAGGAGTGGGCGCTGTTTCTGGGGTGCTGTCAGCTACGCTGGAAACCGTTTCTGCAGGAGCTGGCTTCTCTTCCGTGACGGGGGACTCAGACAGAGGGGTGTTGTCGTCTTTGACATCCAGTGCAACTGGAGGAACTACTTCTTGGGTCTCGGGCTGGGTGGGTGCTGTCAGGACAATGGGATCAGCAGCAATCTCCACGACGGTGGGTGCAGGTGCAGGCTCTTCAACAGGGGTAGGTGTGGTTTGGGTAGATGGGGTAGGTGTGGTCTGAGTAGTTGGGGTAGGTGTGGTCTGAGTAGTTGGGGTAGGTGTGGTCTGAGTAGTTGGGGTAGGTGTGGTCTGAGTAGTTGGGGTAGGTGTGGTCTGAGTAGTTGGGGTAGGTGTGGTCTGAGTAGTTGGGGTAGGTGTGGTCTGAGTAGTTGGGGTAGGTGTGGTCTGGACAGCTGGGGTAGGCTCCGCCTGAACGATGTCTGCAGCAGACTCTCTGATGGGCTGCTGGCTGATGTCCGGCTCAGCGATTGGGCTGTCGTCACGCTCTGCTGTGCAGAAGGCGGGCACCTCGGGGTCTTGAGGGGCCGGCAGCGGCAAACCGTTGAGGAGGCAAAGCTCCTCTGGCTGAGCGATAGGAGATTCTAGAGGAGCTTCCATGTGACTGGTTGGCAACATGACCGGTAGCTTTTCTGTCTCCACCTCTGGGACACCGTTGGTGGAGGTGGGGGGTGCTTCTTCTACTTCATCTTCCTCTTCCTCTTTTGCCTCTGTGTCTGTTTTGTCTTGTGCAGCAGAGGAGGGGACAGGGTCAGGGAGCGGTGCGGGGTATGCGGGCACCTCAGGAGCTGATTGAGGCGTCGGGGTTGGTTCCCTAAGAGGTGGGGGAGCATCCATCACATCTGCAACAGGAGCGCTGGGTGCAAGTGTGGAAATCGTTTCAAGAGGGGCGTCCTCTGCTTCTGATGGGAGAGGGGGCAAGGCGGGTTTAGTGTTCGTGACAGAGTGGGTAGCCTCTGTGGGGATGGGGTCACCCTTAGCAAGCTCCGGGGTCTTTGACAGAGGAGGTGGCGAAGGTTTGCTTCTGTCATCTGGGGAGAAGACAAAAAGAACATTGTTAGACTTCTGAGAAGCGTTATTACTTCTCTGTTATGTGCATCGCTCGATTATGTTTTCATGTTTCCTGCTCTCGCTGCATGGAGAGATATTCATTCATCTCTTAAAGTACAGGTTAGAGATCAGGTTTCACTCCCTCCTTCAACATACCCATTTCAAGCCTCCACTTCCTGAATAAAAATGTACTTTTAAATGACATTACATTCCAGAAGCAGAGCATGAAATAACTCCGCTCTACGTTTTATTATCCAGAGGAAGCTGTAGGATATCACTCGCTCACATATCTGCCCTGCAGGCTGCAGTCTATCGTATAGTAAGCAAATGTGTGCAGGAAACATGAGGTCCTACATGGTGAAAGCATCAACATCAACCTTTAGGTTTTGGGCTTCAAACAACAAAAGTTGCTCTTCATGATGAATTCAGGTATTTCTGAAGCCTCGGCTGAACTTGTACAAGGTTCAGAGCCTTCAGGAATCGCTCTGATATTTTTCTAGCTCCTCCAGGGGGATCCTGAGGCATTCACAGGCCTACCTCCAGTGCGTTCTGGGTCTACCTCAGGGTCTCCGCCTAGTTGGACGTGCATGGAAGACCTCCGAAGGCAGGTGACCAGGAGGAATTGGGTAACTCACAGTAACACAATAAAAATGTATCCATCAAGGCGTCAAGTGACTCCCCTGTTTGGTACAAATTCTGTTTGTGTCAATGAAGTCAGGTGGCTCTCACACCACATGACCTTCTGTCCGACACGAACTGAGAGCTCACACTGTAAGAGTAAAATTCACAGACAAACTCCCCACAGATGGAGGAGGACTTCAGCATTTCCTTTCGCTGGGTTACAAACAACGGCAAAAACGTGCTCTCTCTCTCACACACACACACATACGGGTGCGCGCACACCTCATCTGCATCACAAATAAACACAAGCAAACTAGCAGCTAAATTATTTATTCCCTTTCAACTGGAGTTCTGCAGATATTTCTGCCAGTTTCTTTATGATAGGAGCAGGGAGACAGATTAAACAGGCATGCCTGCTGTTGCCACAGTGATTTCAGACGCTGTCTGTCAGTTTGTGGAGGTAAAATCAGGGAGGGAAAAGTCCTGGACTCGAAGAATCAGCTTGTGGCTCTGCTCACACAGTGCGAGTGTGTGCAGTCTTATATCAAACAAGACAGAAATTCGTCCGACGGAGAATTTGCTGATCAGCCATCCTAACGCCCGGCAATTGGGCTGAAATTCCGTTCGACTCAAAAATCGGAACTAAGTCGGCCTGACATCATACAGTGTTCTTTACTGTTTAACAAAAAAAACCCTCTATTTTTGTTAGACCTCCTTCTCAATTTGTTAAAATATTTGAAATCACAAACTGAGCAGGCAAAAACAAGGACTTTCACTGAACATGTATTCAGGTGTTTCTGATTGTTTGCATCTGTTCAATTTGCAGTCAATGCACCGGACACCTGACATCTGACAGCTGGAGAAACATACGAGTTTAAACACCCAAAAAAGAGGAAACGTAGTAATGACCATCTTAAAAAGATATTTAGAGAATACTGCAGCTCATCTCGTTGAACTCAATTCCAATAAAAGCTCAATGTGAGCTAATAATGTCTTTGAACATGAAACAGAATTTATTTACATTCAGACCCCTTGGAGTATGAACCGAGCCGCTGCTGCAGTATGAGCATTAGTACATGTTTAAGACGGGTTAACAGGCGTGTATTGGTTCTGTGCAGGTTCCTATATTTGAATAAAAGTCACTCAAACACAGGAAACATTTCTCAAATATTAAAAACACCAATATAATAATCATGATATAGTCCTCGTGTTTGTGTGGCACTCACCTGGTCTAACCAGTGCTGGTGTGGCAGCAGCTGGGGCGCTCTCACCGTTGGCCTGGCTTGCTGCAGGACTTTCTGATCCAGATATCGCCGTCTGTTGGGAGTCACACACACACGGCGGAAGGTAAGGAACAGTTTGACCTTAGATGTTAGGACCACACTTATTTTTCCACGAGTAGAGGGGGGAAAAAAGCCGCTCTCAGCAAGTCACTGATTGGCTGTTTGAGCCACACGTCTGTTTGATCACGACAGGTAGAACTGCAGCACATGTATGACGGCTGGTTAACTGCAGCATTCCTCACAAAGCAGCGACGCATGAACAGCACAGGCAAGTATGTTCTTGTCTTAAAGAAGTAGACACACGAGGAGGTATGATGTAAAGCAGAAGATTATGTGTAGAAGCGTTTTCACATGGAACCCTGAGAAGAGAAGTTATTAGCCCTGTTCAGACCCCTGTTTCAAGCCGCAGTATTTACGCCCCTGTGACCTTTCTGTGGCAGTCGTCTAATTCATCATCTCAAACAGAGGAACACATCTGAGTGTGTGCTGCAATTTGACATTTTAACATACACTAAATATGAATGTTTGAACCCTGTGTGACATAACCCGTCTGTTTCTGCAGGGGGCGCTGGAGTCCCCTCGATGGCGGTCTCCATGCTGGAAATGCTGTCTCAGTCTAACTTTCAGTCAACCTAACGACAGGCTGAGAGCTGGAGCTGAGGCGGGTTTTAAGCCTCCTGACAAACCGTTACACCGCGCCCACCTGTCAATAAGGTCAGCTACACGCCTTATTGTGAATAACTCTTATCCTTCATCAAATCAAAACTGATGAGTCATCAAAACATTCACCCCCCCCCCCCCCGTACAGTGTGTGTCAATCGAGACATGAGCTAAACAGACCTATCTGTTTTTTTTAACCAGGCTGTAAACATGTTAATCTCTGCTGTAAAAACAGGCTTTTTAGAATGGGTGTGTATGTGACTTCCTGTTCTTCTGCAGCCAGCCTCTAGTGGACACTCGAGGAACTGCAGGATTTTGCACTTCAGCATCGACTTCATTTTTCAACACCGGAAGTTGCTGCTTGACATTTAACCTAAAACTGCTGCTAAAGAGAGCGAGCATTGCCTAAGTTGTACAAATACGTTGTCGAAATTTTGGTTACAAAACGTTCCCATCGTATTTATGCATTTGGGACGTTGTGAAGGAATTTTGTAATTAAAAATGAGACATTACCAAATATTTGTTGCTGTGGTTTCGAAACAGGTATCGATATCATTTGAGTTTATGCGGATCATATCTAAAAATAAAAAATTCAGGTATCTTGACAACCCCGATTAGGGGATTCAAAGATTCTTAGTCCAGGCTGCCCAGCACTTATAAAGACGACCTTGCTGTATATAAAACTGAAAGCATCAAAAGCTGGAGATCCAAAGACCGTTAACTACACCCACCATCATTAGTTGCATGTATGAGGAATCCCCTGATGTGACCTTTTCACTGACCTTTAGTTTTCCCTGACTCATTATAAAAGCTGACAGCGTTTGTCTCACCTGTGGTGGGGTTGGTGTGGAGCCACTTCGGCCCCCTGACATAATCTCCTCTGTAATGTCTCGACCTCCCTGGTTAGGATCTCGTATTCTGATCTGTGGAAGAGAGGGGAGAGATCCTCAGTTACGGTGAGAAGAGCAGCAATGACAGAAAAGTAGGAAGAGGTGGGAGCAAAGTCAAAGCTACTGAAATGAAAAAGAGAAAGGCAGAGAGGGTTTGAACGCTTCAGAGTGAGGGCAGTGTTCTGTAAGAGAAGCGTGACCCATGATGCAACGCTGTTGTACAGTCATCAGCCCTTTTTTTCCTGCATTTACGACTCGCTAGCTGCCTTGATTCAATGAATGCTACGTTTCTCTCTCATTGTGAACGCCGAGGCACACCAAATCTAAACACCAACCACAAAGCAAATTCCTCCGCCGCACAACTGAATGTGCTTTAGTCTGTTAGTCACCAGTCATGCTGCAGGAGAGAGTGAGAAGCAAGTTCCCCGACTTTAAAGCCAAACTATTTAACAAATTCCACTGCTGGTTGAAGTTGTTGTGAAAAATGCCTGACGCATGAAGGCATAGCACCACGCTCGGGGGGGGGGGGGGGGGGGGGTTAAAACAGAGAGAAAATCTAATCACTCGCTCACAAGGAGTGTCCATACATGACAAACACATGCTTTCTATTTGGCTCCCATTTTCTTACACTCACACTCGAAATACTGAATCTGGAAAGTCAGAGCTGTCATGAAACTAGTATGAGTCATAATGCTACTATATAAAGTTACACACACACACACACACACTCATTTCTATTTTAACAACGAGTTGTTAAAAAGGTTTGCTCTCTCTCCCCTTCTTAAGTTAAGCAAAAATGCTTCTCGCTACCAACCTTTACCTGGTTCAGGCTGTCAGTGACTCCTCTACTGGGGCATTTCAAACCCTAGCAGGCCTCTCTCATCCTGGGGCTGGAGTAGCTGATCCAGCAGGCTCTGGGCTGGACTTTAAACCCTTCAAAGCTTAACTCACACACATCCAGGCTGAGACGGGGGAGCTGCACGCCGGCAGGAGAGGACAGGGCAGGGCTGTGCCTGACTGTCAGTAAGCTAGCTAGCAACTTGACTCTCTCTCATGCGCTCAACAGAACAGGGAAGGGGGGGAAAAAAAGGATAAAGCGACTGGCCTTGTAAAGCTATGGTATTGGAATGCATGAGCCCGCCCACAGAGACTAACAGACTGTTAAAGGGGCCAGAGGGGCAGGCTAAAGGGGGGGGGGAGTAGGTGGGAGGGTTTCCAGGGGAAAAAAGTTTCGTTATCAAATGAGCTGCAACTAGCAGAAGAAACTCCCCCTCTTCCTCAGTTTCTCCGTCCGCTCTGTTATCCTGCACACTCAAGTCACTCCTAAGAATTTTTTCAAGGCTCACCCTTTCTGAGAGGAAAAGAAACCAGCGCAGGAGGAGGAGGAAAGGGGTGCCACAACAGCAGGAAGGCTGGTTGGTCAGCCCTTCCGGCTCAGAAGGGGGAGTAGACCAGTGGCCACGTGGAGCTGAACTATGTGCTGACATGTCCTCCCCCTCCTCCTCCTCTGAGAGGACAAGTAAGGAAAGAGGAAAGTAGAGAAAAAAGGTCATTTGCAAAGCTACAACTTTTGCATGTCACCAGATCGTAAAAGGACTAAAATTGGGTAATGGGGACATTAAAAAAAAAAAAAATACTCAAACATGGGCAGAAAGTGTTTCATGTTCTTGAAAGTTCCAACACACACTCTCACACTGTTTCTCTGTCTGGCTCGCATGCAACGACATAAAGGAGCTGGCGCTTTGGGAAGTTAAATAGCCCTGTGGTTCAATGAACACAGAGCTTCAAATGAAAGGTCGCAGATTGCCAACCCTGAAGCCTTGTGATCTGTAAACATGTTACAAGACACCAAATCTGAACGTCTAACATCCAAGAACGCAGAGACTGTGGTGCATACTGATCATGGACAAATACCCTGACATACAGTCTTTAACCTGAGGGACTAACTTCACGCCTGCCATTTTGCAAAAGTCTTTCCCACTTTGTGAGCATGTGTATGCCAGAGGCAGTGAGCGTACACGGGGACTTGAAGTCAGTGTTACGGCACCGGCGAGGGGCCCATGGGAACGGGCCAAAGTCCACTCCAGGCACCTACAGCTGCTGATAAGCAGCCAAGTCGCCCACTGAGAGGGACCGGACATCATGCGATTATTACAACACAAGCTCAGAGTCAGAGCTTTTGGTGGGTTTCGTTTACCTCGAAACTCAGATGTAGCAGCCGGAAATGGCATCACACCCGAGTTAAGCTCGTTCCAGTAATGACTTGACAACAAGTCAGAAAACCAACATGGACACTTCCAAGAGCACCTTTCTTTTGTTAGCTTATACCAGACGATGACAACACACTACACAATGGTTTGAGGGGCAAAAGTCACATGACAACTTATCCTCAGATAAAACTTGTACGACACAATCAGTGTGATTGATTTAATCACACTAAAACAAAATTAAGCTGCCAATAAACATGATAATCTAAAGATTAAACCTTTCTGTTGATTCACGTAGCAGCCATGTTCGATTTTAGCTCAGGCTGCTGAAGGTTCTCAGAGTTTCCGACTTCAGGGGGCGTTCCTGATCACGTATCAGATGTATGAGCTCAATTAGAACGCACAATTTTGACAGATTTGGGGGTTGACAAGATGCAAAGCCTTAAAGGAAGAATGTGCCACATGTTCCACATAAATAAATCAGAAATCCAGTCTATCCTGTGTAAATGTGTCTCTGAGTCATGACTGTCTACAATGAGTTAGAAGCTCGAGTCCCGCTTTCTGTGTTGTTGTCAGAGCCGTGTTTACATGGACGGGACGGCCGGCTCCTCCCCTTGTGTATAAAAGCTGTTTTAGTCAAGGACTAGAGAGAAGAAGAAGAACATACTCACTGATTATTTGGATGTTAGTAAGAGTTTTTAGATCACGCTCATTCTGTCTCAGTTTACATGAAATGTGAAGCTACGAGCTAACTACAGAGCGCTAACATTATGTTAGCATGCTAACCCAACAATCCGCTCCTTGCTCTAAACTCCTCTGTATGAACGCGAGAGAAGTGAGGGGCTGGAGGTGTGTCTCTGGAGGAGAGCGGAGGCTTCAGTATGGAGGTGTGGCCAAACAGCAGTTTGATTTGGTTTCATACTGGTGCTCTAGAGTGACATCTACTGGATGAAAAAGTCTTCCTTTGATAGGCCCAGTATTCTAGAAAAAAAAAACCCAGATTGAATTTCTTTCTACGAAGTGAACATTAGTTTGAGGAAGTTTCATCAGATAAAGGGAAGAAAGTTGCATCATAGACAGCTTTTACAAAACAGCCTGGACTACAGAAGACAGAAGAAAGTCTTTTTCGAGCCTCATGGAAAGACGAATGTTGACGCATCACTTGAGTGTGGGATGTTAAAACGCCGATTACATGAGGGAGAGGCACAAACTGGGGCTCCGCTTCACAGAGAGCTACCACATACCAGGCCAGGGCCATCTTACAGAGCAGAGGAAACACTAGACATACTGTGGAACCGGGTGGAATATGTCGTACTGCAGCTTAGCCTGACACCAAGGTTAAGGTTAGGTTCACCACTATCACTTTCAGGCCTTTAACTGAACTCTATGTCCCGACTCAAGACAGACAGCAGACTCGTCTTCTGATGGGATTGGTGTTCCTGGAGGTTGTTACAAACACTTTTAATAAACACTTCCCCTGATTCCCACTGAGATTAATAATGTCTTTTCAAAGAGAGAACTGGCCGAGACAGTCAGCAGTGAAAACACAAAGTTTCAGACAGAGACACAAAGAGAGACAAATTACAAAAACACTAAAAGAGAACCATCTATGCGTCAAATCTTAAGTCTACACTCCTGTACTTTTCTGCGGGATAGAAACACAGAGGTGGAGTGGGAGCAGACCTAGAGTTGTCTTATTTATATAAAGGTGTACCAGTGTGTGAGCCTACAGGTCGCCAGAGAACGCCATCCTACCAGAGCGTTACAACTCCCAATTGTGAGTCAATGATGTGGAAAAAACAAACCAATCTACAGTCATTCTTTAATCAAAAGATTTCATGATCATGAGGGAGAGAGAAAGAGAGAGAGAGAGAGAGAGAGAGAAAGAGGGGATAGAGAGAGAAAGCTGGAGGTTCCAAAGAGCTGGATGTGTGATCAAAAATGCAGATTTCACCTGCCAGCGTGCTAGAAAAGCCCGCTTTAGCCACGATCTTTGAGTCTTACAGAATTTCAGCCAAGTCGACGGACGTCAGGTGTGCAGTACACACCGAGGCAGGACGGCCAACAACCAATAGGCTGCTCCCGATCAGCTGGATGAATTTCTGACATGTTTGATATTTCGGTTATACGACTGCACACACTCACAGTGTGAGCAGAGCCATGAGCAGATTCCCCGACTGCGGGTCTTTACCCCCCTGATTTTAGCTGAACAAACTGACAGACAGAATGACAATGGAAGTCAGTGTTAGCTAATGTGTGAATGCTGCAGTGTACGGCCTGCTCAGATCGAGAAGGCTGCAAGTTTGGATTTGTGGAGAAAAATCTGAGTAGCACAAAGAGAATTCCTGAACCAGATATCCATTAAAAATAAAAAAAAACGTAATTTATTGACTTTAAAGTGTGTCGTTTAGTTCAATGCTGACCATACCTGTTTGCGTTCCCGTTTGGTGGGGATGTGCTGCGGAGGCGGAGGTGGTGGTTGCTGCTGTTGAGGGGCGGGGTTCATAATAACCGGCGCCGCCTGCACCGAGGGGGTGAACTGAGGCTGTGCGGGGTAGTAGGCCCCTGCTGTGGAGCGGACAGAGAGAAGAATGTAAAACACACACATCGATTTTAATCCTAAAGCCATTACTTCACACATCAGCGTGCTGCATGGACACAGACGCACACACACGAAAAGCACATAGCCGGTGTTTACACAACAGCATGAAACACTCCACCTTGCTAAAGCTCTGAATATCCTGTTAGGCTGCTTTGAGATGTAAAAGCTGCGTCTCAATGTGAAGGTTTGATTTCTTGGTGATTTGTAGGAACACAGCTGCAGTTTTATGTCCACAGTAAAGTTAAACTGTGAGGTAATTGTCCATTTTTTTAAGTGCTGGTCTTTTCACTGCATACGGAGGATGTTATATCTGTTCTACAGAAGAACACTGCACAATCTGTGTCAACAAGACTGAGTTGGATTTATGTCCTGGATTGCAAAACCAATGTCTGAGTCTGTGCTTCAGTGAGCTGAGAGACACTTCGCACTGCTATAAGTCCAGTTCGTTTGACTCGTGCCAGTGCTCCGATCCGTGCTCAAGCTCCGGGAGGAGAAACACCAAGCGGATAAAGCTCGCTCTAAAACGAGGGTGAACCTTGTGTTGTCTTTTACCCGTGGACGTGGAGTTGGTCTGCTTCCTGTTGGACAGGCAGGTGACAATTAACGGCGGTTAGCTTGTGCTAGCGTGCTTTAGCTTGCAGTGCAGGTACAAGCAGGAGCTCCACACACACACAGCGCTCCCCGCTGGCTCAGCTGATCCCGTCTCTTCTTTATAATGACTCCATGACATTCAGATTGGAGGCAAAACGTCACAGGGACGTAAATATCACGGCTTGAAGCGGCACTCTGAATCTGGCTTTTGATCAGAAAATGTAAACAAAGACTGTTCTGTGTTATAAATGTCTGTCTGATCCCGACCCTACGGCAGCCTCCACAGGCATCAGAAATGACAATATAGAAATAATAAATCTGCTCGCTGGTCGTCTTGTTTGCTTTGTAGGTCATGAAGAGGCATTGGCATTAATGTCAGGCTGTTTCATAAGCAGCTAGAAACTCCTCACAGGAGCTTTAACTGATCGTTTCAAATTGAAACTGGTGTGATTTTGCACCACATGCTTCTTCTATGGAGTAACAGATGACTGCCATCAAGCATCAGGTGAATGTAATTAAACAATTTTCCAAAGTACCAACAAACTTGGTTAATTTCCTCCAGGCCCCTTTTGAATCGCTGTAGAGAAGCACTCGCTCCTAAAATAAATAATCCCAATTTGTTTGTCAATCCAGATAGTTCAAGTAACAAGTTGAAAACAGCTTGAGGGAGAAAATCATTGCTTAAAATCGGAATGTACCTTTTCAAAATAAGCCTCCATGTTGAATTTAAGCGATCAGAAGCAGACATGGCACCTGGAAGGGCGCACAGGTAGGCCTTCAGACCATGACACAGCAGTCTAACCCCCACCCCCCAACCCCCCTTTTTTCTTTTAAAAGCAGAGGATATTTAACACTTTCACAAAATCATCAAGAAAGCTGCTGCCACGCTGACCAAGAAAAAAAAGCTACAACAAGTCCAAAGAACATCTATTCGCCCACCCGGTCAATAATGTCAACAAGACAACCAGCCATTCAGCGATATTACCTGGCCTTGTAACTGGCCTCAGCTACAGTTCAGAACCAGTTGTGGCCCACTTTCAAAGGACTGGGGCAAAAAAAGGAATCCTCAAAATGAAGAGGCCTTTCTTTCAGCCCAGCGGTAAGCCAGCTCCTGCTTTGCCTCGCTCCCCCTCTGCACGCATTTCAGTCTAACTCACATTACTGAGTCTGCATTGTTGACCAGGAGCAGCACAGCCTAAATATAGTCAAAACCCCACACCGGCTGGGGGAAGAGACTGCGCAAGACGGAAAGGGAGGGAAGACAGGCAGACGGACAGACGGTCGGAGAAAGGAGCATGCACAAAACCAGAAACCCAGAATGCAGGAGGAGATTTTTCATGGACAGGGTGGAAATATTTGAAACAACAGGCTTCATACACACGTCACTGAAGCGCAGGAGATAGAAAAAAGGAGGTGAGGGAGTGCAAAGACCTACCCTCAGAGTCCTGCTGCTCTTGAGACCCTCGATTCCCCATGCTGAATGTCTACTGAATGCAAAACTGCGTATGTACAGGAAAAAAAGGAGAGGGGGTTTCTGTTCAAACCCCCTCTCTAACTTTTTCTTCCTGCCCTCTCTACAGGTGCCCTCTCAGAATGACTTCTTTTAACGCTCAGCCCTCCCTCTTCCAGCGTGTCTCTGTTTCGCTCCTCCCTCTGACCTTCCTGATTCCTCCCTGCCTTTCACTTTTTTTCCACCTTCCTCCCTCCCTCCTTCCCTCTAGAGAGTATTGGCAGGCGAGCAGAGTTATTCACTTCTCATGCAGAGTGGCTCACTTTTGCCTGATCTCATCCAGGCTTTGCAGAGACATTAGAGGCGAACAGACTGGAGGTGTAATACCTTACCAGGTTTTGATAACTGAACTTAAAGGTCACCTCCTCTTCAACCAGTGTAAATAAGTCTCAGAGCTCCTCAAAACATGTGTGTGAAGTTTCTTAAATCCACTCTGATCCTGTATTTGATCATGTCTATAAACCCCTCTATTTCAGCCCTGCTCAGAACAGGCTGTTTCTGTGTCTGTACCTTTAAATGTAAATGAGCTGTGTCTGACCACGCCCCCTTTCTGGAAGGGCTTGGGTGGTCTCAGGCTTTCTCGCTCCATGTCCTATTGTTTACGGTGAGAAGGCAGACTCAGAGGGCAGAACAAACACCTAGCTGTGGGAGTGTCACCCACCTGGGGGAGGGGTACTGTCCTTTGTGATGTCATGACGCACACATTTTCTGAAGAAGAATACATATTAAATGACAGGAAATGTCATCAATAGTTTCTGTTGTGATCCCCGCTCTGATTGGGCCAACCCCCCAGAGCTTAGTCTTGCATAATGATCCTGCAGCCTATTACAAACAGGGTGGGCTCTATGAGGGATGAGTTAAGCAAATCATTCAGCTCTTGTGGGGAGGGGTCTTAAAAATAGACACTGGGCCGAGTGGTCAGAGGGACAGCAGCATGTTAGAGGGGAGGGGGCTGGAGGGGGTTTAAATGTTATTCTGGGGTTGTTACTATGCAGTGACCAGGACTAAATAAAAGGTAAAGAAGAGTTTACTTTCTCGTCTCTGTTACGGCGTTGCAACTAAAAGCTGCTGTCAACACCACATTCTAAATCTGATTTACTAAGTCAAGCCCAGAGAGGGGAGGGAGGAGACATTAGGAGCCATGTCTCACTGTCACATGACCAGTTATTTAGGGTCATGTGACCTGCAAGCACAGTTCATGCTACACTTTTCATCTGACCTCCTAGAATTCAGGCATCCACCATCTATAACAACCTACATTTAGCAGCAATAACACCCACAATCGTTATTGTTACTACATCATCGTGCAAGAGTTCAGTCTTTAAAGTCCTCTTATTACCGTGTCCATGTATGACTCTCTCTTGCAAATCACGGTTTAATTCAGATCAGGGGGCAACGCACAGCGAGCTCAAAGGCTCCCGAAGAGAAAGTAATCATAACATGCAAAAGCTCAATTCTCTGTCATCATGAACTAACAGGCTGAGGGCCTGATTCACTAAAAGACTGCGCTGCTTTCATGCCCGCTAAATGAATCAAAAAGACGATGTCTAATCTCTAATCCACAAAACACACAGAGGGGGTTAAACGCACTGCGCTGCAGGGCAAGCGGCATCTCTGTGCATCGTGCTGTTTGTGTTTAAATCTGCCTCTTTCTATGCAAATCTGCCTCGTTCAAGACAAGAGTCTAAGACCTCGTGTCCACTTGCCGTTTTTGTCCGGGCAGAAAAGCGCTGGCCGTGGCTCCGGCATCCTGCAGAAATAGAAGTCTTGTGTACCTGCTGCAGAGGGCTCCAGACTGACGGGGCTGAGACGCAGCGCAGCAGAGCCAGTGGAACATATCAGCTCTGTGGAGCAGACACAGAGCAAGGAGGATACGAGACACGATCCGGCAGGAGGCAGAAATACGGGGAATATCATACATTTTGAAAATAGCGCCAGTGACATCAACTGCGACTTTCTGAAAAGTTAGGGTCGGAGCAGGCGCACTGAAAAGGCGGAGCGCTCGGAAAAAAGACTCTGTGCTTTTTGCTTCAGATGGCAGTCTGCTGCTGCGAACGCTTTCTCCTCATTGACAACAATTGGAAGAAGCTGCTGGCGCTCAGAAAAAAACACTAGTTGGACACGGCGTGTAATTGACGCACAGTTAGAATGGAGCAAAGAAACGTCTGCTGTGAGCAGGCGTTGACTCCTCAAAGTATTTATAAGAGATGTGACACTGAAACTTTTGAGTGATCAGGAAAATGATTCAGTCTGGAAATAATATGACTGATTACTATTGTTAATAAAACCAAGCGGCTCTACACTTTGACCACATGTGTGATTTTCCTGCAGTCTGAGCCCGGCTTTACATAAACCTCTGATGAGCTACCGTAGAGAGGAAATGCAGAGATAAGCGTCCCCTGTTCATGTGCAGAATCTCGACTTTATTTTACTGATTTAAAATCAACATTGGGTTTTTTTCAACAACAGAGAAAGCCTATGACACCTCCTTTGTCTGAAAAGCGAGACAGAGCTTTGAAAATGGGAGTTTTCCAAAAATTTATTATCAGATTACCTTTAATGTGCTTTGATTTTATATCCTTTTTTTAACATGTAAGTATATGTTTCTGTATTACACACATGCACCGATGCAGAGTGCAGAGGGGCTGATGAAGTGACCTTGCACAGAGTACAGTGAAAGAACAAAAGAGCGTGAACAAGGGGAAGCCTGAGGGGAAAGAATAGTCTCTTTACTGTGCTGCATTCAGGCCAGTGCATTGTACTGCTGATGAGCTACAGTTTAAACAAAGACAACACATAGTTCAGATGCCTGCTAGTGGGGGGTCAGCAAGTTTGTTTTCAGGGCATCATCATTTTTTGTGCAATGACCCTCGGCCACCTTTAGAGGGAGTGAGAGCACACGGGATCGGCAGCACATCTCCCAGTGGCAATCAACAAAAGGCGTTCCGTTTCCAGTAAAAAAAAAATGCAGCGTCTTTTCACAGTTCAAACAATCGTAAGAACAAAAAAAAATCACCTTCCAGTTCAGTTCAAAAATAAGGTTCAACACACAAAAGAAATCCAGAGTGGGCGTCTTGTCTGTGTCTAACTCTTTGACCACCAGTTTCAGCACCGAACTTGCCCACAGAGTGAGCCCTCACTCTCCTCAACAATCTTCGGCCACAGACAACACAAGGTGTTGGACACTCCACAGAGCAAGGGACGACACTCAATCTCCGGGGGATTAACACACCACGGACGTTTTGGAAAACGGCGTGGGCAGACACGGACGTGGGAACTGGCTTTTTTGGTTTTGTGGGCGCCGCCATTTTGTTTTGCGTCACCGCTTGTATTAACAGAGCAGCGTCAATCCAGGGAGCTCTTTGGCGAGTGGAAAAAGTTATCAGTACGAATTTAGGAGGATCGCCACAACACGTGGAGTAAAGGTCGTTTTTGATCAGGATGTGAATTCAAGTCTGTTGGGAGTTAATGAGCAAGATAATAAATCTCTGTGACGATAAAAACGACGTTACATGCTGGCTAAAGATGTAATTTATGTTGACATGCTTCAGTTGTTTTTAAAGTAAACCCAATCAACAAAAGGGGGAAGAAATGTAAAAATGAGGACCAACCAGGTCTTCATCAGGACTGACAAACATGACCTACATGGTCGTCAGTCCTTATGAAGACCTCTGTGGTAGAAATATGTTGGCGCTTCAAATTATTTTATAATAAAGTATTTCCATCCTCATTTTTACATTTTCTTGCTTGGGGTGCCTCGTTTCCTCCCTTTTTTTGTGTACAACGTTTCAACCCGTTTTCCAGGAGCATCCAACAATTTCTCATCTTCTTTGACCACAGTGAGCGACCAGTCAACCCCCTTTAAATAAACTCTCAAGTAAGAAGCAAAAACCATCAGTGACATCATCACGATCTTCCTCCTCCTCTTTACCTACAGACTCAAGCGTCCCCAGAAACTATGTGTGTGTGTGTGTGTGTGTGTGTGTGTGTGTGTGTGTGTGTGTGTGTGTGTGTGTGTGTGTGTGTGTGTGTGTGTGTGCTGAATGTCACTGAGCATTTGACAGTCTACTCTAGATCAGGGGTACTCGATTCTAGGAATGTTCTACAGTAAGGTCCTGAACATCTTAAGGCCCTGACACACCAGGGAGATCTGAGCTAATTTATGACAGACACTTCCTGAGTCAGTAAAACAAAAAAACGAAAGTACAATTAAGGGGACATTGTTGGCAACGTTGTTGATCAGTGAATGTGTCAGGAGGATTCTGGAGGATCAATCATATCAGGCTCTTAGTTTTTTTCTTTTTAGATTAATTTTGGGCTTTTTTGCCTTTAATGGAGAGATAGGACAGTGGATAGAGTCAGAAATCAGGGAGAGAGAGAGGGGAATGACATGCGGGAAGGAAGCCACAGGTGGGATGTGAACCCGGGCCGCCCACTTGAGACGAAGGCCTCCATACATGGGGCGCGCGCTCAATCAATGTTTCACATTAATGATCATGAGCGTATTGGACATACAAGGCTTTTTTAACTGACCGTTTGGAGAGTGAACAAAGAGGAGTCGGTCCATTCTTCATTAAAATCTGAGTCGTTTCCCTGACTCACTTTGTTTTTCGAGGCTTTTCTCTCCACTCACTCCTCTATATGTTTCTGTATTCTCACGCTCACAAGTTCACTCTCAGCAATGGCTCCGAGTAAAAGATATTAGAAGCATCACGTGACGATTTCAAATGAACGCATAGGTCAATGACCTCCATGGATCCAATATTATACCGCTGGAACTGCTACCATGAAGTCAAGAACAGGCGGCACTGTTCAGAAAAGAAGCGCCCATCAAGTAAGTCTGGGTCCGGACAGAACGGATCCGGATTCGGACCCAGGTTCTGTTTGGTACACTGGTCACACTTTCATTCAGAATGTAGTTTTAGTTTTGCTGTTTTTAGTTTAGTTTGTATTCTTATCTTTATCAAATCTTGTGTTTCTTTTTTCTGTTGTGTGTCAGCTGCTGCTATATATGTGTGTGTGTGTGTGTGTGTGTGTGTGTGTGTGTGTGTGTGTGTGTGTGTGTGTGTGTGTGTGTGTGTGTGTGTGTGTGTGTGTGTGTGAGGTGAGGCCCCAGGTAGAGCCTCTTACCGTAAGTACCATATTCAGCGGGGCTGGTCCCGGGGTAGAAGCCTGGGGTTCCTGCAGGGACTGGATACTGCTGGGGCGTAGCCACATATGTTGCAGACTGGTACTATGGAGACCAAGCAGAGGGGAACGGGGGAGATGGGGAGAGACGTGGAAACAAACAACATTATTTAAATAGCCGCCCGTTGACAGAGTGTCTTCGTTTTGATGTGTGCAACTTTCCAAGGCTTTTTATTGGCGGTTAAGGAAACTAACAAACAAATTACTCCCTGTTAACTTTGCCTCTTTTGCTGAGGCTCTGCCGACCAAATCTCTGCAGCCCGATGCACTTTAAAGCCGTTTTCTGGTTTGCACTGGACACGCTGGAGTCCTTTTGTTTACAAGATATCCAAGATGGCAGCGAATGAGAGTGAGATGATCTTAATATTAATGCTACATGTAACTGGATATGTTCACATCATCAACCAGAGAGTGGAATAAGAACATGCTGGCGAGCATTTCCTGAATATTCACAGCTGCGTTCACACATCTGCTCACCCCGATTTCACCCAGGAAGTCAGAGTAAAGTCTGATGATGCCGTTTGCGTTCACACATGCAGCTCAGGAGTTTTGCGTTTGTCTGCTTGCAGCTTAAGATTCTCAGATAGAGAAGAAAGATGCAAACTGGAAATAAGAGTCACAGATTTGAAACTACACGTGGCGTGCTATGCAAATCTTTTTTAATGAGTATTGACGGACTCTTTCACATAGTAAGTTCGGTGGCCTCAGTGCGACATTGGTGCATTTGATCCTTTGGTTCAGTTTACTTTTACACTGCACTTTATCAAGAACACCAAAGCCTGTCTAATGTTGTCATGTAGCCCCCCCCCGCCACTAGTTGGGGCTGTAGCTGCTGCCATCCGGCCTAATGCTGAACTGAATGGTGCCCTGCAGCACGACACAGTTTTTCAGTATTTAGATCTAAAGTTATGTCGGCTGTGTCGGGTTAAACTGGCATATCGACCGGAGTGATAACCACATTTAGCACAGGAATGTGCATGCTAACCTGCAAGGAGGACTGAAGGCGAGTGTGTTAGCAATGCTAACGTTAGCCACGCTCGGAAAAACCTATTTGATATCGTTTACAGACGGCTAAATTCAACCCACAATGCACTGCTGTTTGATTCACTTCCCTCATTTGGTTAAAATAAAACCGAGACCCACGTTTTTAACTGGACCAGAGAAATCTCTCTCTCTCTCTCTCTCTCTCTCTCTCTCTCTCTCTCTCTCTCTCTCTCTCTCTCCCTCTCTCCCTCTCTCTCCCTCTCCCTCTCTCTCCAAGGATTGCATCGAAGAAGACGAGATGTGATACATCGTCTCACCCCTGATGATTTCCTGTATCTGGCTCTGATGGTTAGACTATGACAGCAGCACTACGATCCCCTACCTGTCCAGGTATGAAGTAGGCAGGTCCCTGTGGTGAGCTGGGGAACGGCAGCTGCTGCCCAGGGATCATCATCATCCGGGAGCCAGGGCCTGCCTGGTAGACATGGGTGGGTGTCACAGGCCGAGGGCCGCTGCTGGGAGGGACACCCCGGGGCCCGCTGGTTGGAGGCAGGCCGGTCCTGTTGGTGTAGTAGGGCTGAAGAGGGGAGGCAGGGGAGGAGAGCGAGGTGGACGAGGAGGGAGAAAGAGGAGAAGGAAAGAATAGAGGAATTACAAAGACACAGGAAAGGAGGAAATGGATGGAAGAGGTTTAACAGAGGAGAGACAAAAAACAGACTTGTTAGTTACCTTTCTGAAACCTAAGACATAAAAGCCATCCCCCATTCTCGTGTTATTTTATATCCTGCACTGATTGGAGCCAAGTTTATCTCGCCTGGATGCTCGCCTCATAGCTTGTCCATCAATCAATGGCTAGACTCCATCTGGAAACATCGCGGCTCTGTCTGCCACAAGAGCTAAAGCAGCTAACGCTCGTTCATTCAGAGCCTCCTCATTGACATTCTGCTGCTGGCCTGGGAGCCGCTCACCATGTCCAGGAAAATCGCACCAAGCCAACAGAGCGAAACAACGGCAGATACTAAGACAATACCAATACATTCCTCAAAAGGTCGAGGAGGAAACAAAACGGTGAAAAACTTTTAAGAAAGAGGAAATGGAGTTACCTGTAGCGACCTGAAGCTTCCCTTCAGCAGCACAAACACAGATCACACACAGAGACACATCAAATGGAAGCAAGAAGAGGTGGGAAGAGGGGGAAAGAGAGCACCACAATAAGTTAATGCAAAGCGCCCAGAAACTGTCTGCTCTGAGCCAAGCAGAGAATCAACAAGCAGCATGCAGGGAACAGGCAAAACTTCGAGTCTGACTGGTTCCTCTTGAATTAGATGCAGACTCAAACTACAGACATGGTTGGAAGGTGTGCTCTAGCATGGTTACGTTGCTCATGCACGTACACAAGTACGGGTACATAACATGGACATGAAGTATAATCGATCCCCGCCTCTATTATCGAGAAATCCCAGTGTTCTGTGTATGATTAAAATTACTCAAAATAAGACAAAGGGTCAGTAAAGTAGCTGTCAAGTTCTCAAGGTGCAGACGCAGACTCGACTGCGCGTCCCTTTTTATTTTCAAGTCCGCCTGTCTTGTAAACTGAGCACATTTCATGATCAGGTAAAGCCATGCATGTGTTGTATTACAACGTTATGAACAAGAGGTCCACGTGCTCAGGCCCGGTTAGTCCTGAAGCAGTGTGTGTGCAGGCCAGCGGGGGGGGGGCGACCGAGCCTAGTGAGTGCACCCTTCAATTTGTGATCATCATCTTTTAAAATGTAACTCTCTGTGAGGATGTGCACACTTCAGTTGTTAGTACTTAATTCAAAGGACACCTTGTAGCCCCTCCCACAACCCAGAGTTAGACTGTGCTGTTAGTACCTGTTGGTGTAAAGGTCGGGGCCCAGGGGCAAACTAGAGGAGGAGAGGAGGAGAAGCAGACAGGACAAAGGTTAAAGACAAAAAGCACAAGATCCACGCTTCACTCTCCACATTTAATCAAACGACCTCAAGATGTTTACTTTCAGGGCTCAACGTCTTTCAGGATGTACAGCAGCGGTCTAACTGCCAATTCTAACTTAGTCTGTGCGCGCTGTGTTCTGTCAGCACCATGGTTTAGCTCCATCTGGCGGTTTGTGCCCTGCTCACGTTTCTGGACTACAACATCAAGCAGAACATTGTGTATAAAACATGTTGCTTTGTCTTTCTGAGGACAATTTGTTGTTCATTCGGCGCCTGCTTTGACGTCAAGTAACAGAAAATACGATCATGAGTCTGAATGTTGTGTTTTATTTTGAAATTGACATGACGCTCTGTGCGTTTCCTTGTCTGACTTCCAGTCTGGTTCGATCTGTCCGGTTTAGCTTGACGCGGGCTTGCAGCGAGCTCCATCAACAATAAACAATAGACTGCGTATTTGAAATGGAGCAGAGTGGAGAGGCGTTGCTGGCACGCTCCGGAGACGGAACGCGGTGTGATGTGGAAACAGCGGCATTGACTAGACTAGCAGCAATCAGCGACATAATGTGCGGCGCTGATGGACATGTGGAATTTGGCAGTAAGACAGAATTAGAAATAATTGTTTTCACTGTTGAAGGTCATTTTATTTTTCTACAGGCGGCACATTCGTTTTTTCTTCCAAGTGGGAAGCCTTTGCAGAAAGCGACTCACTAGAACCTGATGGGATAATTAATTTTTATAAAAATATTTGTTATTAATATAAAGTATGTCCTCAGCAGAAACCTGGTAACAGTTGGCATGAGGTGCGTCTGGGGTTCTCTTGCCAGAACATTTTTACCACCAGACATTTACATTTTTTGCATTCTTATCAAAATGGTGTGAATTGTTCTGGTTTAGTTTTCTCTTAATGAACGGCACAGCTTCACCAAAGCAGACACTCGACCTTTAAGGAGTGAGAGTTTAAGAAGTGCAGATGAGGTCAGCGTGAGCGTGTCGCACTCCGAGCTGTGATACTTGGTGATGTAGAGTACGGAGGACAGGCTGACACCGACTGTTCAAAACGCTCGGCAGATCGAGTGAGAAGTAGGCAAACAGGCATGCAGGCGTTCTAAGAAATTCACAGAAGGACTCAGAGATTTTGTTTTCTATTGGGAAGTTTTCAAAGAGCTGCAGCGAGGAGCAGAAAATGCACGCAGGGACATTTGAAGCAGCAAGAAGAGACCTTGAGACTCGATCCCAACTATAAATCCTGACTCTGTTGTCAGCTGTTCTTCTCACAAACATCAAAAATGAAAGCACTTAATGAGTAAACTTAATAAACTGTCACAGTGAGGATGAGAGCTGTAATAAACTGGAGCTGAGTGGGTGAGCAGCGGGAAGGCCTACCTGTCGGGTCTGTGGTGTTGGGTTCATTTGTGGAGGCGGTGGGGTGGCAAACACAACAGAAGGGGGCTGCCCAGGGAAGGAGGGCTGCAAGAGACAGGATGTGGCATCAACAGCAGAAGAGAGGGACGCAGGAGGTGTAGGGAGCAAGAAGGTAAGATAAGCCCTTTTCCACAAAAGCGTTGTAACTAAGCTCAGCGTCTTTGTACATTCTGCGACATCCCAGTCTGTGAATTCACATTGCGGTTCGGGCGTTGCTGAAGCACGGCAAAGCTTTAGCTCTACGGTCGCACGCAGACGGACATGCATGCACACACACAGCCCTGCCCCACTGAAACCGCCTCTCCTCTGTTACTACCTCAGAAGACGGTACAGAGGAGGGATCACTTCGTCCCCACATTACACCTCTGTGACGTTCAGATTGAAGGTGAAATGTCACAGGGGCGTAAATATTGTGGCTTGAAACGGCAGTCTGAATAAAGCTAATAAGAGGAGAAGAGAGGTCAAAACATGAACAGGGTCAAAGAATCAAAATTGAACGTCTCATTATGCGGTTTCCACAGCCAAGCATACTCTTACACATCACTAAATCACAGCAGCAGCACTACAAAGTGTAAACAGCCGATAAATTCAACAAAGAAGAAGAACGTGACATAAGATCAACGATTTATAGGAAGATCTGCACCTTTGAGGACGTCCATGGGGCGGTGCTATCCGCTGATATTAGTCGTAAAAACAGTCTAGAGGTTACTCTCTCCAAATCCAAAGGGTATTTAAACATGCAGCGTTTTGTGTTTGTCATTTATTACCGCTGTCGCACAGGAAGATTCTTTCGACCAATCACAGGAGTGCAGTGTATCCGAACCGGACAGCTTGGTGGAAACAGGGCTACACTAACAGTCGTAATCACTGCTGTTGGGGTCTCTGAGAATAATCACGTAGCAGAATGACTCTGTTCCTGCAACATAGTTTGGCGTTGTACTAAAGAAGTGATTGCATGTGCTGCAGCATTTCTCCAGCGTTCATCGTTGTGTGATCTGCTTTTCATTACGTGCACAAAAACTCTCACCAATTGCTTTTTTTAATTGAATAAACAACCCAAGGTGGAGATGAATGTCCTGAAAGAGTTTAAACTAAAAGTTAAGCAGCGGGGTTTCTTACCTGTGAAAGGCCAGGGGAGGGGGCAGGGTGGGGATTGGAGGGGGGTCCTGTTATAGGCTGTGGTGCTTTATTCATTTCATGGAGTTCTGCATGGGGAGGCAGATGTGGACCTGTGTACATATCTGACACAAAAAAGAGAAAAGAGGGGTTGGGGTTAGATCGGTTTAAAACTAATAACAAACAGAGTTTTCTGAAGTTTCCGATATTCAGGACCTAAATCATGACACCCTTGTGGCGGTGGAGCTAACAGAAAGCAGAAGGCGGGGAATGAGGTAGAGAGGGTCTCTCACATGACATTCAGATTAACATAAATGTAGATGTTTCCTGTTAATAGTCATAGCTCAGTTTTATACTTACATTTATGAATCTTGGGTCCTTAGTGTAGTTACACTGAGGAACGTATTTTCCTAAAAATGAACACAGAGAGAAAAACAGAAATGTTGTTAACCATGAGCTCGACATTTCAGACAGTATAGCGCGTCTATTATTACCATTTATATTTAAAGGTCCAATCAATGAGATGTGTAGTGAGTGAAATCATAAAGTGCAGTGTATCCCCTACTTTTTTTTTTTTTTAAGATTTATTTTTGGTCTTTTTGTGCCTTTATTAGTGGATAGAGTCGGAAATCAGGGAAAGAAGTTATTTAAGGATACCTTTCCGATAGAAAAGGACATCTGTCATTAAAAGTAACACATGAACACCAAGATTCCTTCAAGTGTTTGTGTCGTTGTGTCGGCATGTCCCCACCCCCCCCAACGCCTTACTATATGATCAGACATTAAAGAAACATGCTTTGTGTAAGTGCTGGCTTCTCTGACAACAATGCAGCAGCCAGTATGTCCTCCTTCTAACTTTAGATTCTGGTCCTGAATGCTCTGGATTTGTTTGGACCAGAGAAGGTAGGCGGTTTTAAGGCACCCCCACACGGCCGTTTTGGACGCCCCTCGGTTTGTCAGATATGAGAGCAGTTATCAGGTCAAACCAATACAATTCAATTCAGGGGGAGCTCTCTACAATGTTTTGAATTTGGACTGCAGTCCCCATTTTAAACACGAGGTGTCAGAGTAACATATTACTCCTTTAACCAAAGCAATTAGAAAAACTGCGGTGGGCTCCGAATCTAACAACATAAAAAAGGGGGTAAATAGCCGACTGTACAGTTTGTTGTGATGAAGCAGAAAAATAATCATCCTGTACATTAGAGGTATAACAAACAGAACCGGTCCAAAGGTTTAGCTAACGGCTGTTTTTACTGGAATGCTACTTACAATAAGTCTCGTTAAAGCCATTCGTATGGGATTAATTAATTTACAAGGTCAAGCCAGGTGAGCGTTAATGAGCTGCGCCAGAGCAACAGGGTTGTTAAATGCTCCCTTTTAAATCAGGTGAAAATTAAATCCAGGGACACACACATTACACCTGAAGCTCACGTCACAGGATTAATTAAAGCCCACAGGATGAATCCTTAAAAACAACTGGGTTTGTAAATACAAGCTTCAGAAGAAGTTCCTTTCCATATGTTAAAAAACCTCAGTAGATGCTTTATCATGAGGGGACAGTAGATTCTTAAGTCAAAGTTGTTTTTAAGATTTGAAAATAGAGCTCGACATCAACACCAGAAAGAACTGAAACTAAAGAACAATCCTTCGATGTGCATTCTTTAAAAATCACTACTACTACACAGATATGCGCCGATATTACTCTATTTATTCTCCAGTCAAACAGCATTTAATTTGGGTTGCATTGTATTACACTAGCAGTTCTCCTTCACCATGCACGTACATGCTCTGTTACTTTCCAGGTGAGTGGCCATCTGGTCTTTCCACAAGTGTTTGATAACTGCATTTTAAGGATCAACGCAATAGATATCTGTCCACCTCTACAGATAGAACATAGATTTAAGTTATCTAATATATCAGGCCGATATTGTTTCATCAGATTTATCGATATCGGATTTCTTTTTCTCCCCAATATCGGTATAGACCCAAAAATCCCATTTCGGTCGGGCGCCTATTCAAAAGTCTAACACCACAATGTATTTATATTTACAACTATTGGGTAGGTTTTTTTTGTTAGTAACTGAAGTGTGACAAAGAAACTATTTTCCACCTGGAGAGTAACTGGACGAATCGACGCACAGCAACTATTGATCAGCTCGCACTTTCACAATTCATCCCTTTGCACCGTCTCTAAAAGTCGCTTTGTGTTTAGTATGAACAAACCAATATCTAAAATAAGAACCTAACATGCTGCACTTTTTCAGAATAGATGAAACTAGGAAGACGTTTCCCTGATACACTTTTTTTCGTAGGTGGTGTTGTCCTTGCACCAGCCACACATTTGGTATTTATAGCCAAAGCCTACATTATATCTGCCACTGACCCACACAGCGTTACACTCTCTCACTCACAGAAGCAGCAGTGAAAAAGGCCTGAGTCATGATGAATCGGGGTTTTTTTTTTTTTTTTTTTTTAAAGAACGAGGAAATCAGTCTGCAGAAATAGTTGTAGTCGCCACTGTTACCATGACTCCAGCACACAAACACAAGAAGACAAATGGATAACTAAGCAGGGGTTTCCAAACAGCCGGATTTAAATCCCAAGGTTTGAAAAACACTTTCTGGCAGGCACTGACAACCGGCTCGCTCATCCCAGGTATACCAGAGCCTTGGAGAATGGCAGCAATAGCAGTTAGGGTTAGGAAAGACGGTCATCTAGCAGCTCAAAGAATCATCCCCAAACACAGAGATTGTCAGACTGAGCCGAGCTGGCTGGGAGATGCGAGGCTGAATAAACAAACTCTTGGCTAAAAAGAAATCTCAGAACTCCTATCAGCTGGGAGCACAAACACAACCTTTAATTGTTAAGAGGGAATTCTTTATACTGACGAAGTGCGTAAACAACGCCAATGACAAAACCTGAACACTAACTGAGTTTGACCGCAGACACAGACACAGTCGTAGGAAAGAGGGGTACTTTTCTGGCGCCTCATCTTGCAGAACTCCGTTGTATTGGGAAGGTTATGCCAGCACACACAAGGCACCCCAACTCCCAGTCACACACAGTCAAGTCATTTGAGCCGGTCTGTCATGCAGTCTCGCTGAGATCCAGCCACCAGCACCACTGCTAGTGAAACATGCGCCTACAACTGTTGCATAAGCCTCTCTCTGCATGCACTCCTATGACCCACTAAGGAGAAGAGGGGCTGAAGTATGCTAAAAAGGTTGGCTATCATGTCACCAACACAGGTTGAGTGAGTTTACCAGTGTTGTACATGCTTTATAAATACATAAGACTCCCTGTTCCATGCACAACTGTCAAACTTAATGAGCTTCTTACAGTGCTTACTGTGCTAAGAGCTAAGTCAACTCTGCTGCCTGGTTTAAGTCAGAGGGAAAGAATTAAATGAGTCACTGGCTTAATGAGTTCATGGCCTGCTGCAGTGTTCAAGATACTGTGAGAGTAGAGCTGAGCAATATGGAGGAAAAATATGATCCTGAACATTTTAGTCAATGCATACATTTAATTATTACTGCATATAACTGATTACGCTGTCAGTTTGAAAAGTAGCCACAAAATCACCTTTAATGCAAGCCCATGAAAATGACACGACACCGTCCAAGTAGGTGGCACGTGTGAACGCAAATGTCCGGATACAATCAACAGGAGTTCATTTGTTAAAACCTCTGCAGCATCCTGTCAAATTGTCCTAAAAATCCAGACATATGGTAACAAACGTTCATGCTGTTCTTGAACCGTCTGGACTACGAACACAGATAAGGTCTCTTTTGAAAGCTAACAATCTTTAGTTTCAGAATGCATCACAGGCTGTAGTCTTTTTGGCTTCCTGCTTTCAGAATGCAAGGTGTTGATTGAAACTGCAGAATCACGTGTCCAGAATCTCATCCTCTCCAGAAGCCACTCATCAGCACAGTCGCAAACAACTGGCTGGGTGTAGAGGCGTCACAATGGGGACAGATACCACCTTTCAACTCAGGCTCTCATTGGCTATTATAGGCCCAGAACAGTGAATGGAGGCTTGTAATTGGCCAAATGAGGTGACATCCGAGGGCTCTGAAAGCAGTCGCCATGTTGATGTCTTGGAAGCATTATGCCCAGAAACATTCAGTAAAACTTCCAATTAAGAGTCAATATAGAGTAATTTATAATCATTTGATGTCGTTGGTCTGACAGATGCATAGATTGTGGCTGCTGTGTTGGTCGAACCTTAAAATGGTTTACATGGTCGTTATAACTACAACATCAATCATGGAAACCTGCAAACACACTTTTCCTGAAGCTTCTGCTGATTACACTTTCAGTAACTTCTCTGTTACAGCTCACCGCTGTGCAGACTGTGATGGCAGGGTGTACCAGCCACAGAGACACCGAGATTGCTCTTATAGTAACAATGTGATAGAAAAAGCTCCACTAGTGGCAGGCTTCACTTAACGGATCTCTTTAAATGTGGAATTTAAAAATGTATATATATTTAGCCTGAAAGTCACAGGAGAGAGGGCACCATGCCTGTGATGTAAAACAGTCATGTTTTCTTGTATAGCTAGAATTAACTTATTTTTACAAACTAGGTCTGAATTTAAAAATCCTGAATGGTCTGTATTTGTTTGTACCAGAGAAGGTAGGAGGTTTTAAGGCACCCCCACACGACCGTTCTGGGCGCTCCTCGATCAGATTGATTGTAACCGACCTAAAAGGCCTCTGCATGTTTCTAATAAGCTCCACGAGCAGAAACGTGCTCAAACTAGGATCAATATTGGAGATGCTTTTGAAAAATGGAGAGATGGATAAACACTGAAGCTTCAGTGTCCACCACATGGCAATCTGTCTGAGCATTGACTCTAGAGAGGAGGGGGGGGGGAGCAGCTCTCTACAATGTTTAGAATTTAGACTGCAGTCCCCATTTTGAACACATCTATGACAGAGTTAGATATTGCTCCTTTAACTTTACTTTTCCATGATCACATGTTCAAACAGCACATTTATCTTCAATCACACCGCAGAGGAAGTACATAAACAGAAATCTTCAGTGACACAGCATCATCCCAGCCTGTCCAGCTTTCACAGAGTCAGGCAAACTGTGACAGCCTGGCTTTGACGCACCATGCATGTGTCCTGCGATTGCACTGACATGTCAGGTATTCTTACATTTCAGTCTCCCAGACTGAATAATGTAAGTAGATAGACAGAAACATGGGGGGGGGAAACATCTTTAGTTCACACAGTCCACACAGTGACTGAAAGTGCAACCATTTTGGACCCACACTCTCAGCTTATGCCACGTCTCAACATCAGCCTCACCACAGCAGGCATGGTCCAGTGATCAACAGCTGGCTTAAACATGAATACAGCAGCGTTGCCTCCCAGTAAACCAACAATTTGACACAATATCAGTGCTAACACGCAGCTGTCAAACCAACTACCCAGTGGTTTCACACCCTCTGATTCTGCTTGGGAGACTCTTTAGCTATGACACAGGGGCGTGTCTGCATGTCTACACACACACACACACACACACACACACTGCACGATAAAGACAGCTATTTGCATTGCATTTCAATAAACACACACAAATCAAACACACAGCATCTTACAGACATGAGTGTGAGGATGCCCTGCTGTATGTTGTGCTGTTAGCCTTTTGCTAGCTCTCCTAGGCCCGATCTGATTTACCACGTGGTTTGTCTTGCTGTGGGCGCGATGCACACCCCAGCTGCCGGCTTCATGTCAGCCACACCTCAAACGACATCGGCTATGACAATCATGGAAATCCATAAAAAAACACCAAATAAAACACGTTTTAAGGCTTCAGCAGTGGTCGAGTGAATGAATGGGAATACTTACAAGATACCTGCCAAGCTAATGAGGTTGCTGATGGTTATTAGCTCTGACTTTTCGTGATCAAAAGCGCAATATTGTTCCTCTTAGATTTGTAGTTATCGTACTGAGGTGCATCACAGCAGCACGCGCTGTCACCGGAGTCGTGACGCCGGTGAGTCCTCAAACTATCCACAATGAGTCACACACCTCCGTTTCAACACCAGCATCACCACTGCTGCGACATCCCACGTTTGCACCGATGCAGCACAGGATGGTGAGTTTAGAATAGCTGTCATCAAAGTGGCTCTGAAGGCAAAGCGACCCGTCACATAAACGCCTCAGCAGGACTCTGATTAAAGCGTCACATTAAAACAAACACTGTCCCGTCTGATCCGTCTCTGCGTACAGTTCATCTGCATCACTTCCTGCATGCCAAAACAGCCACCCAGAACCTGAGAGCATCTCTAGGCCAACAGAGAGATATTTCTGAATTAAAGTGAGAGCTGAATGACTTCACCGCCACACAAAAACACATTTCCAGAGAGCTGGCATCGCAGTCACATGGTTCCAGATGTCATGTTAACAGCGTGCGTGCTATTTACAACCAAAACTGTCCAAAAACACGTTTTCAAAAACAGCAGAGCCAGTGAATAAGACGACACACGCGTTGGTGCTTTCTGCCAGAAGGCTGACACCAGGGGGAAAACACGGCATCCACACAACTGGTGGGATTTAACCTTACTGCTACCTCTGTAGCATGCTGTGAAGCTAGCTAGCAGAACGGTGGGGCAGCTAGCAACGTACATTACGTTACCGGCGAAAACAACAACACTGTGATGCGACAGTCTGTCTGTCGGTGGTCTTACAGCATGTATAACACACACTACATCTGTTCCTCAAAGGCATACATGTAAATAGACATCTTGGCAGTCTAACGTGGGGTTTGTTTGCCAAGTGGACAAGCTAAAGTGAAGAAAGAACACCCACGTCGCATTAGCATGGGATGCTAGCAGCCAGCTAGCTAATCCCTGAAAACACAACGTGAAGAAAGTCACCACAGCTTCATTTATCTTCAGACCAAAAGGACAAACCTACACTTAAGTGCTCTTCTTGAATCTCTATTAAATATCGACTTTACAATAATCTGTAATTGTGAACATTTAAATGAAGATTTCTTACTCAGGACCGTGGCAGTTACCTTTCTCTCCTTGAGTCCGCAGAGCCGGACGGACGGAAAATCTTCCCGGAAGCCGGAAGCCGGAAGCAAGGTAATTCCGGCAAAATCCCGTCACGTGAAACTTTCTCGGTAATAATTTTCCGTAATCACTGTATTTTTTTATGGAGGAGAAATACGACCAGGAAAGATAAATAAATGACGAGGAGGGGGAAAAACTTCATTACACACTTTGAGAAAAAAAAAAAATAGAAATGTTGAGAAAATAAATTTAAGAATAAAGTCGTAATTTCAAGAAATTGTGTTTCAACTTTATTCTCTTTTTTTTCCTCGAACCTGGCTTTATTTTGATGACTTAATTTAAATGTATTGGGTAACTTTACGTCATAAAATCGACTCTGAGCGCGTTGATTACTTGAGATGAGGTAGATAGACTTAAACATTCTTTATTGTCATTCAAATTGTACCTCGCGGTGCAGATCAGAACGACATTTCGTTGCAGTAGGCTCGTCATAGTGCAGGATAAAAAAAACAGCAAGTATTTACATAAAAAAAAGAATAAGGTGCAGACATAAAGAAGTATAAAAATAAGTAATGAAAGAGTTACTAAAAAAGATGTGTAATGTATATATTATATTGTATTGTATTGTATTGCACAGTCCAGTGAGGCAGTCCTGTGTGGGGGTTTGGGGGGGTGGAGGGACTCTTTGTTGTGTTCAATAGTCTTATGGCCTGTGTGAAGAAGCTGTTACAGAACCTGGCTGTTCAGCTTCCTTTAGAGAAAATAATGTATCATTTGAGGAATCAGAAAACAATATTTTCCAATATGTGGCAACCCTTTCTAGATTATATGAAACATCTTCCATCTTCCACGATACACTGTCTAGATTATTTATACCAGGAATGAAATGCTCATATTAATTCCACCCTTGAGGAGAGAAACTGACATTTGTCTCTCTTTGTTTATCTTAATATGTCTCTTTTTGTAACTTATATTTTATTACTTTGTTGTCTATTGTCTCAAATCCTGTAGAGCAGTGAGTATTATTTTCTTTTTTGTTTTGTACTCGTCCATGTTTTAAACGATTGTGCAGTTTTTTTGTTTTTGTTTTGTTTTTTGGCCCTATGTTTAAATTTGAAAAAAAAGAAGCAGAATCAAATATTCTAATATATATATTTTCGTCTCTTGGTGCATGATGGAAAATCAATCTTCCTCCTATCGTTGTTTATTTCTCGTGTCTAGCTCTGATCCTCTCCCAGAGTATTTGTTATCATGTCACCCGAGACGTTTGAAGTTCTCTGAATGAAGCCGGGTTCCCTTTGTCTTCTGGTGTGATCCTTTCGCTTGAATAGATTCTGAAACCATTTTAATGACATCACATTTTGTATCACAATTAAAGGAAAGAAGACTTTGTGTTGTCATTTAAATTCTCCTCTTCAAGCAGACTCGGGCACAGTACCTGAGTACGGTACATTTGTGTTGAAACTGATCAAATGAACCGGACGCTGGGGTCAACTCGAATCCGGGCCCGGGTCCCTTAAGTGAAACCACCCGAATTTACAAAATCTTTCTTGAAAGAGAATTTACCAAATGCTGGAGGTGACCGGGAAGTGATTGAGTGAGCGGTCAATTAATCAGTTTTGAAGAAAAGACTGAGTGTTAACTGTCATCAGGTGGGCTCCACAGAACATCACTGGATCACCATAAACTCTGTAGAACACTTGCACGCCAAAACAAACTACTTGAACTCAGTCACTTCCGCAATCTGTACATTCCTACAAGATTCTGCCTTTTCTAAATTTGTCTCTGCGCTCGTGAAGTCATTAAACATGTTGTAATTTTGTTTTATAAAATGTAAATTTGTCTCGAGCGTTGCTAAAGTGTTTCACGTGATTTTGTTCTGCACTTCCCAGCCACCGTAGTTCTCTTTATCAAAACATTTAATATCCAGGAGTCAGCCGTGTTGCTAATCTTCATTTAAATCTGAATTTCTTCACGTTGCTTCCAGTTCTGTCCTCCGTGAAGCCATTAAAGTTGACATATTTCCTCGGGCTTTTCTTTCCCCTAGGTGGCACTTGTAAGCTTCTATAGACCTGTCTGTAAAATGACTCAGCACCACGTCTTACTGCCGCTCGTTAACCACCACGACACTCAGACGCCACTCTTCCACCGAGTTTGATTTAAGTTTTTATTTTTGATTCAACCTTTTACAGTACTGTAACAAAAACCAAAACAAAAATACAGAAGAAAACGTGTTTAAGGAATACATATTTTTAAAGGCTCTAATTACAAAAGTTGACTTAGAATGAAAGTAGTGGCGGCGGGAGGAGGGGGGCACACATTTGGAACGGGGATGTGGACTGAGCAGTTGTTTTTTTCATAACATTGTGACTCCTTTGAATGGCCCCTGGTCAGTTGAACAGCTGATTCGGTACTTGTTTAAGAGAGGGGGGTGAGGGGCGCTGGTGGATCAAAATAAGAGCAACACCGAAACCATCCATATTGAGCTGAAGAGGTCCCAGTTTTACCCTCCCTGTGTCATCCCAGAACCCAGTCATCCATTTTTTAGTGACTGCCGGGGCTGGGCCACGGGACGACAGTGAGAAGACAGCAGGGAAGGAGGATAGGCCCGTCTTGGTTCTTTCCAGCCATGCATTAAACAACTACATATAACAACTGCCAAGAGCCATGGAGGGCCACCCTTACAAACAGAACGAGAGGCCAGTGAGAATGCGAGGCGGGCAGTCTAGGTTTCATAGTTGGGATTCTTGCGGAGGATAACAAAGCCCTCCAGGATGGGGGTGACGGGGAGGTACTCCTCTGTGGCCAGCTCCGCCCTCTCTCCGTGAGCCAACAGCACCGGTGTGGTGTGAGTCTGGAAACCTGTGATAGCCTTTGGCTTTCCCGCCTGGCCCACAACATCCACAGCCTGAAAGACAAAACACACGAGGTCATGTAAGACAACAATTTCTCAAGACGCTCAGACGGCATCTCAGGAAGTAACAGAACTTCTCAATTATACCAGAAATCTCTTTTTGCTGAATATGTGATGTGATATTGTCCTGCTAAGTCCGACTGACACAAAAGAAAAGTCTTGTAAAACAAACTTAAAGAAGCAATATGTAACTCTGACACCTAGTGTTTCAAATGGGTACTGCAAACTAAATTCTGAACAGTGTAGAGAGCTGTCTCCCCCCGCCCCCTCCTCTCTAGAGTCGATGTTCACGCAGGTTGCCATGTGGTGGACACTGAAGCTTCAGTGTTTATCCAGCTCTGCATCAGTCTGTAAACCTTTCTGTGTTCTAACCTCTCTCCATTTTTCAAAAGCATCTCCAATATTGATCCTAGTTTGAGCACGTTTCTGCTCGTGGAGCTTATTAGAAACATGCAGAGGCATTTAGGTCGAGTACAATCACACTGGCAAACCGAGGGGCGTCCAAAACCACTGTGTGTGGGGGTGTCTTAAAACCGCCTACCTTCTCTGGTCCAAACAAATCCAGAGCATTCAGGACCAGAATCTAAAGTTAGAAGGAGGACATACTGGCTGCTGCATTGTTGTCAGAGAAGCCAGCACTTCAACATAGCATGTTTCCTTAATGTCTGATCATATAGTAAGCTCACTTTATCATTTCACTCACTACACATCTCTGGACAATTACAGGGACCTAAGAAGGCATTGAAAGTTTCCGAGCACTCTTTGACTTTGGTGCCAACAAGATACAAGTTGTTAAATTGAACGCAAGGCCCCCCCCCCCCCAAAAGAACAGAGCAAAATGTCCAGTCTTTGTGCAATACTTGGGTAACTGTTAGCAGTTTTCCAGGAGCAAAAAAACAGTTTTTTTGTTCTTATAGCCTCACCTGTCCGACTCTGACAGACACAGGCAGCGGTCGCAGCTCCTCATCGAAGGTGACCAACATACGAGGCTGCATGGCTGCGACCAAGCCGTAGAGAATGTAGTGAGACTTCCCCAGGATTACTGTAATGCACAAAGTGAACAGAGAATATCAACAAACAGAAACCAAAAATGTAACTCAGCTTTTAATTTAGAAAACAGAACAGGAGGATGTTAAGTGTGTGGAGCAGCAGGAGGAAAATAAACTGACTGTTCTTGACGTCAAGGAAGGAAACAAGCACTGTGAGAAGTCCAGCCACTGCGACCTGACTCATCAGCTGTCTGTCGCTATGGTAGGGACAGAGTGTCAGTGTGCCTTTGCCCAGGTGAGTCAGACCCTGCGGAGAGACAAACAGCACAGAGTCAATAGAGACTCAATAGAGAACATTTTTCACTTCAGTCCACGTGTGTCTGGTACAGAGTGCCTCTTGTGTTGCCACCTACCTGAGCCAGTCGGACCATGAAGAGATTGTTGGGGTCTTTGGCGTGATACTGTGCCAGCTGACGCAGCATGGCGGCCAGACGGGCGTTATTCGTTCCTGAGGAAGGGAAAAAATAAATGAAGAGGTTGTTAAATGTGTTGAGGAAGTTTAGACTCTGGGCTCTCCCAGAGGAGCAAGATCACTCAGGATGACAAATACATCACACCTTCAAGTACAACATGTTATTCCTAGTTGGTACAATGCTGGAAATAATTTGGTGTGTTAAATTTGAACTGAAGCTGCCAGTATAGGAGCGCCAGCATAAACACTGTGCTTCCACTCTTTCCAAACCCCAAACTGGTTTCACCAGGAATGGGGGACCTGGTGCTCTTCAAATGAACAGCTGGGCCAGTTTTATTTACATCTATTGAGATCACATCTGTTCCTCTTACAATGAGAATGAAACGGGTCATAAAACATCTACATTTGCTTTTTTTTTTTTTAAATGTAACCATAGATTGTCTGGAAGTAAACCATGCTTGTTGGCAGGTTTTTGAGACTTGGTGTTAAGAGTTTTATTGTTTCCTGTCTGCACTCGTCTTTACCACCTCTATTCAGCTGAGTCTTTAACCTGAATGTCTAGGAGGCATAAGAGGGGATCAGCTGAGCCAGCGGGGGAGAACAGCGCTGTGTGTCTTCAGCAACGTTGAAATGCAATATGACCTCACAGACTTGCACACCAATATTACGCAGT